ATAATGTCATTGTTATAATAAATTGGAGACAAAATGAAATGCCCGCTGCGAATTTTCTGCGCTTCGTAAACTATTCTGCACAATAGGATGCTTCGTCAGTTGTAAGTCAGAATTTGTATATTATTTAATATTGCTTACATTCGACCTTTTGTCATGTATATTAATAATTTAGAAATAATTTAAAACCTATTTGGAATAGATGGAATAACAATTGCTAGCTTTCATGGAATATCAACAATGCAGGGAATGTAACAATAAAGCTTGCCTGCAAAAAAGCCTAAATGTGTGGCAGATTGGAAAAAAATTGAGATCAGATTTTTCGAAACAATTTGGAACACACGGAGACGTACTGTCAATAAAAAAATTATTGAAACTTTCAGAGGAAAATTTCGCGTTAAAATTTTCGAGAATTTTTTCAATGATTATATAATAGAATGTATCGTGAAACAAAATGTAATATAAGCTGATTAAAATAACAGGCTTAATTTGACATTTGCTCTTTATTGTCTCCGAATTTTGTTTGGTTTCCTGGCCACGACTGGATAAAATTCTTTGACCCAGGAACATATATGTATTGGTGTGAGGATTATTCTTGTGTTCAAAGTGTCAGAAAATGCTTCACAAGAAATAGATACAATGAAATAAAGAGAAATATTAACTGCAATGACAATAATGAATTAGGAAATCGATCTCAAAGAAACAAGTCTTTCAAATACGTCCCCTTATAGACACACTAAACGAACAGTTTATAAATTCAGAGTGTTTTCAGAAAATCTTAGCATTGATGAGCAAAATGTGCGTCATTATTTGTAGCATCAGTACGGGCATCATTATTTGAAGCATTATATGACAGGCGAAAAGTACAGGAATTTGAAATAAATGAATTGGGTGCACCAGTTGAGTTAGCTTGGCAAACTCGTCTGTGATTCAGAATACTTCTTATCATGCCTTGTATTTCGACAATTTTTCATTAGTTTCGAGCTACTGAAGTCACAGAATGTGGTGTAGCTGCTACTGGAACTGAAAGGCACAATCGGATGAACAAATGGCCATTGCAATCGGACAGCGTTCTTAAGAATGCAGATCGTGGATCGTACGATTTCTGCAATGATACAAATAATGTCATATTTGTGACATGGAAAGAAAACAGTTGTGTTTTCAAATCATTAAGGAATATAACATATGCAAAAACTAAGCAGATGATCAAGGATAGAAAGAAAGCCAATAAATATTCGACAAGCGGTATGTATTGAACAATACAACAAATTTGTGGACGGAGTAGAAAAGATGGACTGGAACATCAACAAATATAGGGGTAAAATTTGAGCGAAAAAATGTTACTTTCCAATATTCACAAATCTTTGGAATATGCTGTAGTCAGTGCTCATGCACTCTCTTGTATCGTAAATACTTAATTGCCCTCTTGAATTTTGTGGAGAATTGTTAGGTACTATACGTTTGCTAACATCTTTTACACACCAAAAATGCAGATAGACCATGCTTTCAGAAGCTACAAGCAAGCGCGTTCTTGTGTTCACGAGAAAAAATTCAAAAGACATTACTCGAAAGAACTCAAAATGGAAACAAAGAAAATACACAGTTTGTAAAAGAAAAATGTTCGAAAACAGTGTTGCAAGTGCAATGTAGGACTCCACGTAGAATGTATGGCCGAATGACGCAAATAAAGTCTTACCTACTATGTTATTGTTCATTAACCAAAATAATGATATTCTAAAGTGTGTTCTATATTTGTTCACGGCAACCACCGCGATCCCCAATTGGGGATCGAATAAACAAATCAAAGTTTTAGACAATATACAAGCTCCTAAAATAAATAAGACAAAATTAGAAGTTAGTTTTAGAGTAAATGACAATATTTCAGTTGAAATAACAAAAATAAAAATGTGATAGGTAATGAATTAATCTTTTAGAAATTATTTAAAACCTATTTGAATTAAATATGAAATAACGTTTTGCAAGCCTTCAGTCACCCGCCCCCAATTTTAAATTGCGTCCTTTAATAGTTGTGTTAAATGTGAAAACGAACAGATGAGCTGTAACTATTGGTTGTTGTTACCCAATGTCGTAATGCCGCGCGGCAAGATAATGACAGCTGCTTTAGTTCGCCGAAATAAAAAGAATTTAAAAAAATATTTGTTTAATAATTACTATTATATATTTTTCGATTTATTTGTTTTCCAACGTTATCAGTATCGTATTATTTATTAAGTTTTCAATATTTTACTTTCTTGCATTCTGCTTATGTTTTGCACCAAATGTTCCACGATTTCAAATGAGTTTTACAAAAAATAATTCGGAGAGAAATTGTGGCATAAATAGTATTACATAACCATTACTAATAGCGAGAAAGTACCTGCTGATTTAGCGCCACTAGTTTGTTCTATGTTGCTCCGCGCTGTGGAACTTGTGTCCCGGTCGTCATGCTCGTCGCGCGTAGCTTGGGGTACGTATTGTGTTTGTATTGGAGAGACTTTTAAGATGGTAACATCAGACATCAGTCGTCTTGTGAATCTGGATGTTTTGATGTATTGGTAGTGGGTAAACAGTGGATATGTTTGTTGCGCAATATATTGTGTGTTCTTTCCGTGACTTTGGCATATTTCGTATTCCTCTTATTTGCGTCGTGGCCCATGCTTTCTCGTAGAGACCGTTTCTAAGATATTGTTGTAAAATAGTGTTAAGCTAGCTTTAGATTTTCTAATGTGTCTACTGCTGTTGTCCAATCTTCATACGTATGCTGCTGGCACATGTGAGGTAAAGTAGTAAGCTTAAATGTATTCTTTAGTGTTTTTGAGGAAAAGAGAGGTTGAGGAGAAAATAATTTTAGTTTTTTCTTTCTTGCTTCTTTTATGCTTTTTCGATGAGAGTTGTAGGTTAAAATGTACGCCTAAATATATGTCATTTTTCCACGGGAGGATATGTGATTTGATGCACGTGCGCTTAGCTTTCTTGATGATTTTTCGTCATTTGTGAAGATTATTGCCGGACGCTTGTGGGTTTAATGTTTGGCCATTATGTTCTCTCCAGTTGGTCGGGGGGTTTGCGGCTGTGAAAATCGCTGAGAGCGATGTCCGGCCTGTAGGGTGAATGGTTGATACATACGGCTCGGTTCACGTCATCTGCAACAGTTCCGCTGGGACGTGTTTAACCATACCTACAATCTGGATCTCACTCCCTGCAATTTCAACCTTTTCTTACACCTTAAGAACTTCCTCTCCGGTTACCAATAAGCTTATCACAGTGTCGCAGGTAATCGCCAAACACTTGTGTCTAAGATGAGGGGGACTCCTAGGACACAGGGATTCAAATGCTGATCTCACCGTATGACAAATGTCTCAGTTCGATTGATTACGTGGGAAAATAGTGCATAATATGCTTTATCTGCTACAATAAAATTGTTTTTTTTATGAAACCTTTAGAAAATTTTCTTACTAACGACTAAATATCGTGTTTGGATAATTTCATACGTAATATATATTGATTTACATTATCTCACGATTAGTGCATGTTTACGCCATGATTCTATTCTCAACAGCCATCTATTGTTTTCTGGCAACTACACTAACATAGCAAGCGCCCATGTTCAAATCAACTTTTAATGTTTCACTACTTCTTTACGTTTTCACAAGAGCGTTTCATTATATTTCCTTCTTTTGTCATAGAAATAGTACTATAATTTTTCTCCGATTACTGCATATATACTGCAACCTTGAAGTTAAATAAGATCGGGTGATAATATTGTCGAATGAAGGGATGAAATGTCTCACTAAATTCCAATGAAAATGTAATGGCAACTTCTTAGTTGTTTTTTAATTATCCAAAAAATGTAATTATTTAGAATTTTCAAACCTCCTTTAACGTCTGGAATAGTCCAATTGTCACCAGAATCAGCAGTTTTTGTTGTTTACTGCCGAGGGAAAAACATGATAATATACATAACTAGGGAACGGATTTCTATGTAACTACATATTTGCTAAATAAGCTAATATCCATACTAATTTGCATTGTCTTTATGTTTCACAATGTGTACAGTTGAAAAATGCTACTTTTAATATTCCACATTTTGGGTTCTGGTAGGTATTTGAATAAAAGTCTATCTTTTTTTCAAATTCCTTATAAAATCAGTCAACATAGCATATTAAACTTTAAAGTGAAATTTCATTAAAAATTAAACTTGCATCTCAACAATAAGATCTGAAAAATTTTCAGTAACTCCTTAAATATTAGAAAATTGAGGAGAATTGACACTGTGAAACCAATTTAAGAAACTGTTAACGATTTTAATTTATGTGAAGGATAGATCCACTCCCTGGCCCTGAAGCCCTGTCTGAGGGGTCTGAGTGGCCGGCAGGGTGAAGGGGGAGCGCGCGGGGGCAACGAACTGTTGGTTTTGTTTGACAGATGACCTTGATACCTCGGTGGTCTGCGGGAAACGCACCTCGCTTCAGTATCCACACTACCCGCTTTTTTTTCTTTGTTCCTTCGAGATGAGGGTTATTGACCCAGAAGCTCAGGAACAATACTTGTTACCAGTTCTTTTGAATTATGCAGTCCAATTGGTAAATAATACATTAAATATCATTGTTAAAATTAATATTACTTTCCTTTTTATATTCTTATGTATAATTGCGAAATGAAATAAAGGCTCTGTAATTATGTGGCTGATTCGTACAAGCACGATGATTGTATAATTTTCCACTCGGGGATAATATGGAATTTGCATATAATGAGTAAACTTTTCTATTTTTGTTTCTGATTTACTCCATATAGAAAAGTGATGTAATATACTACAATGACTGTGTTAAATACAAAATAAAATATATAACACATTTCATGAATACACTTTTCAATTAATTTTTTAACAAGCCATCCTCATACTATGCGTTTTTTTACTTCACATCTTATACATTACAATGTCAAAAATCCGAGAGATAAATATAAAATTAAGTTCGTGACTTTGTGTGTGTGTGTGTGTGTGAGAGAGAGAGAGAGAGAGAGAGAGAGAGAGACAGAGAGAGGGAGGGAGGGAGCGAGAGAGACGGAGGGAGAGAGAGAGAGAAATAGATAATAAGAAATATTGAAAAGGAGATTCGAATAGGCTGAGAAGGCGATTATTTGAGGAAAATTGTGTGTGTGAGAGAGAGAGAGCGCAAATTTATTCAAGTTGAACTATAACTTCCTTTTCAGTGTGTTTCACTTCAATGACAAAAGTACAAATTTGCATTGGTTTCAATTCAACGCTAAAATGACTTTTAGTGAATTTGCAAGATGTTTGAGGATCAGTTTCTCCCATTGTAGTATTCTCTGCCTCTGCATTCCATTGAAGTCTGACTGAATCTTCCTTCCATTGGTTAGCACCCAATGTAGTTTCACGTACTGATATTATGTCAAAAGGAACAAACAAATCCTGAAAAAAGAAAGAAATGAATTTAATTTTTTAATTCAAGTAGCATGTTAAATGATTTTCAATATTTATTTAAAATTATATTATATAAATTTACAGATATATTTTCAATTAAAAATGTTAAATATAAAATACTTACCTCAATAACAGTGTGTTCAAGTTGTACAAAACATATTTCAAGTCTCAACATTTGTCATCGTATTCGAATTACAAAAGAAAATACTGGAGATAGATAATATTAAAACAATAAATATTTTTAAATGTCAGTAATTACTGCCTCAAATTACATCATTTGGCAGCAATGCAAATCTCCTTGATATATTGGACACTCAATTTGAATTTGATCCATTAATAGATGTACCTCCAAACTAACTCCAATTGTATTGCCGTATTACTACATTTACCTTATCAGTCGACATCCAGTAGACCAGTGATTCCCAACCTTCCCTGGACCCAACAAACAATTCGTTCATTCAAGATCATTCCGAGTATCAATGGAGCTTAAAAAAAAGTGAATGGGGTTTTCGCAATGAAAAAATTGATACACGATACATGAATAGTAATTTATTATTACTAATTATGAATTAGTTATATTTCATTCTCAAAATATATAAATGTTCACCATTAAAAAAATTGAAGATAGTTCCGTGCATGATTTTCAAATTTTTGTGACAACTGAAAAACTAGTGTCACGTCAGCAAGATAGAATATACTACATAGAGTGGCTGAAGCGCCTCCATCTTTAAAGCAAATTGAAGCTATGCGTTTTTGCAGTCAAAGCAGCGCCATGTGGGAAATAAAGTATTCTATATTGTGATTTATGCAACTCTGCCCCTGGCAAGTCTCAACTGTTCACGGTTTCATCCAATCAAGAGCTTGAACATCACTATAGTGACGTTTTAGCTTCCGATTGGATGAAACTGTCTACAGCTGATACCTGCAAAGGGCAGAGTTGAGAAGTTCGCAGTATAGCGTTACGTTTGGCGCTGGCTCCGGACGGTTACATCGTCACTCAAATGTTTTGAATTCAAAAAGCATGGCGGCCACTAGTTCTGCGAGCCTCCACCAAGAGGTTGAAACTATAGGGACAGCCACTCTATTTAGCATATTCTATCTCGTTGTATCACGTGCACCACCTGTTGGGAACCACTGCTCTAGTCGTACTTCATTTCTCTGTGTCAGACTTTCTATTCTCTCACAACTTGCCTTCAATTGAACTGTCACTGATGTGGATTGATCTGTGACCTCTCCTATTTCCAGAATATGTTCGAGGCGCAAAAGAAGAGACTTCTCTTTCCAGGGTTCCAAAGTGAGAATGTGTACATTGTTAGGTAATGATTTCTTGACTCCCTCAAACTGGAAAATACAAACAATGGAATCATTTTTTAAAACTACCTATAGATTTTTTATGATTCACTGATGCAGTTCCTTGAGAAGAAGTGAGTGACAATATTTGAATATTTTTTAATGATTCTTTTATTTACTTCGGTAAAAACGCGCTTAGATCCCTAGTAACCAACCATCTAAACAACGCATTAAGAGCGCGAACATAGCAACAGTCAATAAAATGCTTAAAAGTCCATTAAAAATATTTTAGCGGACTTTCGTGTTTAGATTTTTTCAGTTTTCATAAATTTTTAGATATGGCATTGCCACAAAATAGAATTTTTGGAAATAAATGGAAATTAAATTTATTTTTACAATTGTTTTGATATAGGTACACTAAAATTACAATTTTTGAATATTCCACTGCATGTAATGCCATTTGAAGCCGTAACATTTATCTTTGTTAGTATTACAAGAAATCGATTCTGAAATTTTTGTTATATTTCTTTTAAAATATTTGTTACTGTAGATATATTTTTTGTCACAATGCTTGCACTATTGTATGTTTGTTTGTTATTGTGTTATTGTTATTTCAATGTGATGTTGTTTATTGTTGTTCTTGTTTGTTTTTCTCTCTGAATTGGACAATTAGTTTAAAACCATTTTTAGAAAGAACCAGAATTGGATGGTTTCTTTACATGTCAATAAGTATGTACAATTGTATTTGCCGAATGTTCGAGTAGAACAAATTGCAAATAAAGCAGATGTTAGAAAAAAAAATATTTCGTCCCTATTGACCCCATGTCCTACTTGATAGGACATGGGACATGGTTGGACCCCCTCCGTTTGTCCCAAGTGGATAAATCTAATTGCTAAATTTAGGGACAAGATCCTCTAACACGTGGTGTAGACAGAATGTTTTGTAAATCCTTGAGACCGAAAATCGATTGATGGCAAAACGTCTGTCCGTCCGCAACGCTAGCGGTTAAACCGATCAACCGATTTTTCTCCAAAAATTTCTAATGCTGATGTCTCGACCTTTTGAAATCGACATTTTATTTTATTTTTGATCATTTTATACCTCGTGTAGCATATAGAACGCTTAAGAATATGGTGCCGGTCTCATATTCGTTGAAAATTCTGATTTTTTGATTGTAAAAATGTTTAATTTTTTCGCCGTTTACGTACAACTACAATTGTGAAGATAGTTTTTTTATGAATGAAAAGTGTAAATCAAAAACGGGCCTTCAAATCAGGTCATATTCAATTTTTCGAAAATGTAACTATTTGTATGTAATTGGGCGTCGAACTTCGCCCGCTTCGAATGTACGGAGTTTCGTGAACGTAATTAGAGAGGTGCTTGGAGGCTGGTGGATGCTATGTAAGTTAGAAATATTATATTATTTCATATTTCTTTTATGTTTTTTAAAACTTATTTTATATTATTTTCTTTTGCAAAAAATAAACAATTTGCATTTTCTATTGTGTTTATATGCTTCTGGAATGCACATTTTTGCCCAAAAAACTTTTCAAAACAACTTTCGAGTAGTTATTGCGGCTCAACCTTTCGAAATATCCAAGTAGTTAATTAGATAAAATATGCTTTAAATTGTTTTAAGAGCTTATTTTCAAAGTTTTGACGTTTCCTCCTAGGACACTATTATATTATATAATTTCATTTCTTTGTTGATCTATATTAATGAGGGTTTTGCGAATTAGAAAATGTATATTATTATATTGTGGTGTTAGGAAAACATGTATCCCTAGTTTGAACATGCTTACGAGAGAACAAGGGTAAACTTGTGTATATGTTGAGACCTACGACCGGCCACGGACATTTAATTACAAGCCAATGAACTATAAGAGTCCGCTTCGCATTCTAAGAATAAGTAGGCAGAATGAAAGATGCTAGTTTGACTGAAGCAGTGAGCATTCCACCAATCACGAAGCAAGAAGAAACAGTGCGCGTTGCTGAACAGAAAAGTAAGCAGTAGGAAACGGTAGGGAATTCGCCATTATGAGTTCGAAGTTACGTGCTAGCGAAATTGTATGTGAACGACCCAGGATTTGCTGAATTGAAGTTATATACAATCTAATAAGTCCAATAAGCAAAGCTCCAAGCATAAAGAAGGTAAATATCTTAAAAGCTGCTCTTTTAATTTGTGATAATTAAGCATGCATGAGGAAAAACGTGCACGGAAACGTGTTTTTGAGCATAACTGGCATATCGTTAATTTAGAAATTTGTTTACTGTTCGCGTCAGTTTTTTTGTATCTTTTTAACTTTTTTATACCTTAAAATATAGATAACGAGACATTTCAATCAAATTATCAATGCCGAAAACGAAGGAAAACTACATTCTGGGTAATTCTCATATGGAAATCTGACAGCCTGGGAGGAGTAACGACGCCCCATCATTAAGGTGGCCAATCGTCCAAGTTTAGGGAGGTCAGTCCTTCTTTCGTATGTTCTGTCCTTCCTCGAAAAGTTTCCTCCTATTCGATATTTTAAAACTTCTGTTAATCTCTGTATAAAGAGATGTCGCGCCGAACTATTACGCGTCACCTGACTGTACAGTTTGGATAGATCCCGATTAGTATTACCAGATCGGGGGAATTCCCGCAATTTTAAGTAGTTTCAGCTTCATTATTTCCGACATATTATTGTTGGACAAGTGAGAAATCAAGATTGGATGTTGATACTCTAGCAGAAAAATTCAATATGAAGTATATTTCTTGCTCCAAAATTTCCAATATACTGTTAAAAAATGATATATTGATAAACAAATCATTCAATGGAAATATACTATATTAATAAACTAAGAGAGATTAAAGCATAATTGGTGTATTTTTGTTTGATTTAATAAAATGTTTCATTTATTTACGTTGTACCTTTTTCTTAAATTGAATAGGCCTCCATTTCATTGCAAAAAAATTGTCACTTAACCAATCATCAACATACTAATGATAGGTGGGAACGGTGCCGGCTCTCGCTCTTCCCTCATTCTCTCTGTGCGGCGAGTATTGGAACTGGGCTGCCACTATTTTATAGGCAGTTGGTACGGTAAATCTAGTGTGAAGTTTTCTCTGCATTTGTTAATTGAGTGAACAAATAGCTGGACGATAGTGAGTTAATAAAATTTAACCAGAATCTTATTTCAAGTAAATTAATCTACCAAGAGTATAAACCCAGAATAATACACCGTTTGAAAGAGGTGGTAGCGAAGGTGGAACAGAAACTAGTTTCCATCCCCTCCCAGGGTTCCGTTACTTTGACGAAGCGTCGCCGTGGCAAGGTCACGCGCAAAGAAGGGAGACTTTCATGAACATCATATTAGGAAACCGTCTCTCTTAGTAGAACGATTGTTTATAAATGGGGAAGATTTTTATACCTGCTCTACCAATCTTTTGTTACCACAAGTGTTGGCAATCTAGTTTAACTAGTGAAATTCTGTGTGGGTTTAATTTTATGAAACGAGATTTTGTACAAAGGGGATACTATTTACATTGCTGAGATTAAAAAACCCTTCTTGCTTGTGGGTGTTGTGTGGACCGAGCACCAAATGCTCATAGACCCCACTCCTTATACTGCAATTTTCGCTCCTAACTGGATGAAACCGTCAACAGCTGATCCCTGCCAGGGGCAGAGTTCCACAAATCGCAGAATAGAATTAAGAATTTTATCTCATGAATGAATCAACCCTGAATAACCATGAAATTCTATTAGAATGTATGGGTCTCTCTCTACAAGTATAGGTATATGTATGTGAATGTTATGTTTGTGTACTTTGTTTTGTACTTGTATATGTATGTGTATGTATTTTTATTTGTTTATATGTGTATCTATTTACATTTGTATAGAATTGTAAATGTCATTGGCATGTGTTACATCAACAAAAACTAAAAAGGCTAAAAGGTAACTTTTTACCTTCCCGTATACGTGTGTATATACAGAGTAAAATACGTAATATAGGGAAAGTTATGTAATGCTGCAGAAAATATAATTCGAGATTTAAACGGAAATACATATATTAGCATCCCCAGGTACTGAAAAAGGGTTCTTTTTTTCTTTCTCCAAAACGTCTTCTGTTTCTTCTGCCCGTTCGTCCGCCTCTCTATCCGTCTGTGAACACTAGTGGGGCGAAATCATGAATAGTAATTTTTCCAAATTGCAGAAATCCATGTCCACCTGCCTCCAGTCGAAGCCTTGAGATTTTGCCAAACATTCTTTAATATTTGGGCGTACTTAAAGCCTCCCGGCAGTTTTCAAAATTGACTCAAAAACGGCTCCAGATATTTTCTTTAAATTTCTTAAGGGAACAGAGTAAAATAATCTTATGAGGGGAGTATAGGTCTGATTTTCACAAACTCCTATAAGCAAATAAGATGTCATCCCCCAGTAGTTTATGAAAGTATCCGCAAACATTGTACGTATTGTTTTTGTTGCAAAGTAAATTTAACAATCGTCTTTTTTGTAAATTACTATATTTTTGTGTAATTTAGCGACAAAGTGAAGTGACCGCTGCGAATTTATTGAATTAGAATTTCTATATTACTTCACATTCCCTTGTTCGTTTCTTACACTCGACTTTTTGTTATACATGTACACACTAATCTTCAGAAATTATTTGAAACAAAGTTCTTTATGATCTAGGTATTTTACCATTATCTTGTTTCGTGATATACAAATCAGTGTTTTTTGTCAAAAAATTACTTAAGGCGGGAATATATTTTCAGCAAACGCCGTTGACCGTCTTGAGCAAACGTCTTCTACACTCGACGTAGCAATCATATTCATCAGGGGATAGACAGCTTACATGTGGATTATTTTAAAACACCTTTCCAGATGACATTAAACGATTAAATTCAATACAAAAGTTCAAGTCCCAAGTAAAATTGTTTCTGCTGCACAACTGTTTCTATACAATTAGCACACCGCGCATCCAAAAGTAAATTAATATTATTATAAACAAGGACATTTAATGTATTATATACCATTTGTATTGTACAATTGTAAAGAACCTGTATCATGTATTGTACTTTAGCTTCTGGGTCAGTGATGTCCGTCTCGATCAGGTTTTCGTCCAGTTTTCCTGATCCTCGAGCAAATGCTGAGATGACCCCAGTTTTGCTTCTGGACATTAATGTAACTTAAAATTAACTTCTCCCATAGCACGTCACACGCAGTTTTTAACTGTTTCTGACGTAAATAAATAATTAAGCGCATTTATCTCATTCTCTAATTGCAGAAATTAATGTTCATATGTCATGCTTATCAGAACATTAACATGATTGTATGCATCACAACACAAATGAATCATAATCCAAGACGGACGTTTTAATGTTTAACAATTCTAATGCTTGTAATAAGACAGAAGTTCCTCACTTCCATACTCCTCCAAAATTTCTTCTTCAGACTGCAACATGTCTGTGAAAGTAAGGCACTCTCTAGTTTTCCTTAATTTTCCGAGCACTTTGTTACTGGTGCAGCTGACAATGCAAAACAAACTTTTCATGTCCGCATTGGCAATAGAAATATCATCTATTAAAGCAGGTTCCAAATTATTTAAATTTTAAGGTTTTGTCCTTTAAGACTGGAATTTGATTTCACTGCAAAATGAGTGGAAATTTACCGTGGTTCGTTTATTTCAGCTTCAGGAGATCCAGCGCTTTTAAGTTTTCTTTCAGGTTCAAGAAACTGATCAACAGAAACATTATAACTGGAACCACTTAACCTTCTGTTGGCACCAAAATCTTGCTTCCAAACCATCTGTTTGTAATTTTGCAGTGACAATATATGACCATCTGTATTTCTCAAAATTATATTTTACATAACTGAACAAATGCAGAAAGAGTTTGCGTGAAAGCAGTGCAAGCATCATTTGTTAACTATTCTTTGAATTCTGATGCATGCCAGATGCTTCAAACTTCCGTTCAAGCTCTGATATATAATATATTGGGATCGTTAGGTCCATAGATAGGATTAGCATTATCATTTCTTGTGAAAATTCCTTTCATAGGATGTTGCACATTTGAAATGGTCCATTACTTTTAAATTAATTTTACAAATTGGATGGCTCCATCTGAAATGTCAGTGCCCATGCTTTTCAATGTTTCTTGTGCTGATACTGTTTTAGAATTAAAAATTCTGATTGCTAATTAAACATTTTGCCTTTCAATTAAAGTTGGATACACTGCTTTTCTAGATAAATTGAGAGATAGCTTCAATATATTATTCTTCGCAGTATCGCCTATTCTCTCAAATTTCAACATTTTGCTTCTTTTTAATTATAATGATACTGTTCACTGCTACTAATCACTGCTACTAATGCAAGATCAAAGATTTTGATGATAGGATAGATTTGGAATTGATGCTTTTAAACAAATAGAACCCAATAGTTCATACATTTTTCTATTTTATTTTGCACTTTACGTTTGAATGTTTGAATATCTGACGTTTTGTCTTGTTCACTCCAAGAGCTGAAAATTGCTTTATCCCTATAAAGTAGTTTGCTGTGTACTTTCTTCACGTAGTCATATAGTACATAGACGTGTGTATGGGTTTTCAGTTTTTTTCCTCTCTTTAGGAACTTGCAGTATATGATACGAGGGTTGATTGGGAAATATTGACGGATACGCATTACATTTTAACTCTGGAACATCTCGCCGGACATGTATAGAATCGCCAATTTTAACAGGGAAAATGTCTTCCTTAACTACAAACTTTGATTCGAAATGTTTGACAAACACTGCAGAATTATTGTTCACTTTAAAGTTATCTCTGTAAATTAATTTCAACTATTTTCCCTGAAATCTTTAGAATATTTAAAAGTAGTTGTATGAGATTTTTCGCCACAGTTCTACATACATCCCGGGACACAACACGAACGACCCATTAGATAAGCTTGTTCTTGAGTTCAAACTACTACACAAAATTATGTATGTTTGCTTATTTCAGTAAGTATGATTGCGTAGGTTTCAGTAAGTAGTTCGACGTAATTAATCGTACTAAGACTCGTAGACAAATTGGACCTACGTACACACTGCAAAAATCACCATAAATCATAATGTACTCACAATCCAAACAACCATGTAAACATTACCACATGATTCAGCATCCTCTGAAACTTGGCCTACGATAGTCGCCATTATTGTTAGATAACAATGTAAGCCTGGTAGTCGGGCTTGGTTGAATTGGACCTTTCAATAACAGCTAAGGTGTTAGTGGCGCAGAAAATGCAATTTTTACATTGCAATTTGCAATACGAAGCTGTTTCCAATAACGTGAGAAAGTATGCGCTGTAGCAGCCCCACTTGTTTAAATATCTCTCACGCCGCTAATATGAAGATTTACAGCGATTTGTAAACACAATTGCATTTCTGACAAAGTGCTTTAAATGACTTCATATGAAGTTTTTCGTGAATTCGATAGTTTTCTGTAAAAAGAGATTCAAATTTCGCATTTACAGTAGCGCTTAAAGGCCATTTTCTAAAAACGGCTCCTAATTGTTTAAAGGAAATTGCAATTTAGGACGAGGTTTTACAGTTTTTTAATATCCTTAAAATAATATTTCCGCTCAACTCTAAGGAAACCAAAAATTAAGAAAATGTCAACAAAAAAATGTGCATTGGGCGGCGATAGATGGCAGCTGGCAAGAATATGTGGGATGTTCGTATAGCTAGCGGAAAGCAAAGGAAATGGAAAACTAATACAAGAACGTCTGTGCCATTCTGTAACACAACTAGTTTATATTATTTATTACTTTCCCGTATGCGTACGCATATACGGAGTAATATACATAGTATAGGGAAAGCTGCGGAAAATAGATTTTCGGATTTCAACAGAAATACGTTTTCCCCTGATACCAAAAAAGTGTTGTTTTTTAACGTCCGTCCGTCTGGTGTATGTGAACAACACTATCGCCTAAACCATGCCTAGGATTTTTTCCAAATGAAACACCCCTGTCTATTTGGCCAGAGTCGAAGCTCTGCGAATTTGAAAATCATTTTGGGAGGTACTTTTCATGAAGCCCCTGGAACATTTTCAAATTTTTTTCAAAAAGTCTCAAATTTTTTCTTTAAATTTCTTGTAACAATATAGTTAAATACACTTAATAAAGGTGGCATAGGTCTGATTTTCGCGATTATCTTTGAATTTTCGAAAGTTTGAAATTTTTTCAGTGTCTCCTACTACTACAAAATTAAAGATAATTTTACTCAAAATATGTTCTCGATAGTGAATTCTTTCTTTAAGGTCACGTACATTTGTTTGAAAACTTAGTAGTTTTCGCGCAATATTGGATGCAATTTGTGCGATTTTAAAAATTACGAAAATAAGATTTCAATAACAGTTCCATTTTTTCTTTAAACGATTGTAGGGATTGTGCTAAATGTACTATATAAGATGACATAAACACCATATTGATCATTCTGTTTTTGAATTTTCTTAAAATAATATATCCGTTCTACTATTAAGAATCCGATTTTTTTAATGTTCTTTGGGTGGCGATAAATGGCACCAGGCAAGAGTATGTTGCAAGTTTGAATATCTGTACCATTCTGTAGCATCTATAGTTAATTATTACTTGTAATTGTATATAATAATTTTGTTACGGTATTCTACATCAGTCTAACTGTAGAATAAAGTTTCGATCTATTATAAACCGAAGAGTGTGTCATAGAGTATTACGAACATTAGTGCAATAAAGGTTCAAAAATAAAAAAAAATTATTGAATGTTCTTAATATCTTTCCTCTATATTGTTAAAAATCTTACTTTTTTGTATAGATACACACAGATAAATGTAAGACACATGATATAGATAGGTACAGACTCACATAGGTATAGATACAGAGTAATACAGAATGATATGTAGGGCTAATCCTGCGAAAAATTGAATTCGAGATTTTAACGGAAGTAAATATTTTGACGCCCCTGATACCGAAAAAGTGTTGTTTTTTTCAATATTTTAATTGCCGCTTCAAATTTCTTATAGTCTCGAGTCGCGTCCATAGTTGCTGACAAAAAGAAACGTTGAATAATCTAGTCCTTACCTTCATTTTAAATTCTTCAGACCAAGATGTAAATGTTTCGCCATCAGCTCGAGTGAAGAACATCCAAGGAGGATTATACTTTTCTTGCGCTAATTTCCTCTCATATGAAGATAACTCATGCCCTATGAGACCTCCTATTATGAAGTGCTTTCCGCGAACAATATGCCCTTTTCGAAAAGATGTTTCATTGAGCTCTTCGTCCATCCGAATGCCATCATCATAGAGTACTCGCCGGTGCAGCTATAAAAAAAATAGGCATACATTTATCAATTCAATTTTCAGAGTGCTCAATTGTGCTTATTTTAATACCGTGGATTATTTAATGTGGTATTCCTTAAAAGTTGGCTAAGCAATTCTCCATTAAATTTAATGCAGAATCAAAAGTATTTTTGTCACTGGAACTTTCACACAGTCTGTGTTTAAAATATACATCACATTATGATCCTAATCAACCTGGTATACCATCTAAGCCCAAAGCTGTTTTTCAAAAGGGCTCTTCTACAATGTTATCTTTTAATCAATTTTAGAGGAGCCCGAACCCTCCCAAATTTCATTGGGGGAGGGGGGCGAAGTTGTCAGAGCCTCTTAGTATTGGTGCCTATTGGCTAAATGCAATCCACTCTCCTAAACGGCCGCGGGTGGATTCATTGCGCAACATGCAGCGATCGTTCGCTTCGCCGCTTCAACGCAATTCAAGCCAATTCAACGCCTTGTTCCAGCTCTATTTCAAATACGGACTTTTCGTGATTTCTTTGGCCACAATGAAAAAATCTATGAGACATTGAGCCTCTTGAACTTAATCTCTGAATCTCTCACACTAAGGGACTCGTGTCTCCCAACGTCGTGAGCGGGAAAAATAAGATTTGCCTAGGCTGAGGCTCAGCAAAGTCTCAGCCTCTGAGTCTAAACAAAGTCTTATCTATATTACTTTCTCGCTACCACTTACACAGTAGAAAGAAAGTTATATAATCTTACCCGAAAAACCGGCGAAAGTTTAACAGAAAATCCCTTACTACGCATTCCTGATAACGAAAAAGGTGATTAATCCAGTTGTTAAATTTAGAAAATAAATTCTCTAAGTCATGGTGTAGCTAGAATCCACGTTTTGGGGGACCTTAATACCAAAATATGGAATGATAGAAAAACATGTCTTTCTGTGAACAATTCTAGCGGCTAAACCAGCCAGTTTTCTTCAAAATTGATAATCCTCAATCAATCTAATGTCGGGGATCCCTTGCATGTGAAACCGATATTTTAATTTTGAGGGGTATTTACATGAAGCATCTACATTTTCGAAATTTTCAAAAAATGGTTTCATCGTTTCTGGTTGAATTTTATTGGTCATTCCGCATTCGGCTACCGAACGGTGCACACCTCGTCCGCTGCTTATCACTCCGTAGTACTTCGACTGTGACCAGAGATAAGAAGGGCCCTTGCGGGGCCGTGTTACGGCCTTACAGCAGGCGAGTGACATGTTTAAATATCTTTGTACAGTGAAGTGCATTTTAATCCGTGTTTATTACTAGGCCAATCAGCACGATGTGTTGCCGCTCCGGCGATGGGCCCTATCGGGCCATTAGAGTGATATTTGTTTTTTCTTCTCATAGACGAGTACTCAGAAGTGAATGTGGTTTCGTAAGGTTAAATGTTCAATCGAACAATGGCAGAAATCCCTAATGAATCATTTCCACAGCTATCAATGCAGTGTCGCCCGCTCTCTACGCCCTTAACGACTTCCATTATACGGAGCCGCACCTAATTATTCACCTACATCATTACTACTAATGAATCAGCAACATCAGCTATATGCAGCGAGCCAATCTGCAAATGCAACCTTCACGCAGCTGTCTATACCACTCGTGGGATATTCTCAACCTTCTCCACTGGTAAGTACAGTGAATTCTCCCTCTCTTAAGCGCCCCAGATTGCAAGATGCAGTGTATAACCAAGCTTCGTATGCACAGGGATCGTATGTAGCATGCCTTATAGTGCAAATGTGCCTTTATAAAACATCCCAACCGGCAATAGATGTTCCACTCTTGATCGTGACCCCGACCCTCCCCCAGAATAAGGTCCCTCAAACAACGAGTCTCCTCCCTCACAACCGATTAAAATACCTCCAATCATTAGACATGATCCACCTGTTCATAAGGAACTCTTGCAAAAAATTAAGAAATTGCTTAAACGTTTTTTTTACTATTATCAGAGGACCTTATCCTGAAATCAGAACAAGTACAGTCGAAGACATGACTTCTTTGTAAGCACGCAACGAAAGGGTTGTACCATCATACTTACAGGGACCCCACAAAAATTACTATTTCTGTGGTGCTACGAAATGTCCCAATATTTTATAGTGAGGAAGAAACACATCAAGAACTAGAAAAACAAAAATTTACCAGTAATAACGGTTATCAGACTGACTTATTCTAATCGTAAAATTTGGCCTTTATGTTGCAAAATCATTACAAAGCAGAGCAATATATGAACTAAAAGATCTGTTCAATGCTATAATCACAGTTGTAGAGCGTCGTCATAGACTCGGACCAGTGCAGTGTCGAGGTTGTCAGGTCTTCGTACACAAAAAAATGCGGTAATCCTCCTCGTTGCGGAAATGTGCAATGCCGCATGCCACGGTCGAATGTTCTTATACCAAATGTTCACTCTGCGGAAAAATGCATCGGTCCTCTAGTCGCGACTGTGAAATGTATCAAAAAATTCTCCATAGAAAATCACTCTCATCTCGCTACCAGATCCGACAACAATTCGCACAACAAGCGGTGCCCCATCATCCACGTTTATTAACCTCTCCAAGGGCTCCACCTGTAGTCTATCCTCATCCTTTCCCTTCCACCCCTGTCACAATGCCTCAAGAACCATATTCCCCCGACATAGAATTTCACAGCGATCATTACCAAACCAAATGCTATATTCAGATGTTTTCAAACAGCCCATACACCCGACCATTGGGCAGCCCTTCCAGTTGGCGCAATTTATCTCCCAACAGGTAGAACATTTCTTCTCCAGACTCCTAAGTCAAATTATTCCTTCTCTCACAAACTCCATCCTTCAATAAAAAATCATATCATCTATAAAACATGCCTAAAAATAGTGCCACTCATTGCTCACTCAGTCTCATTTCTTGGAATGCAAACGGTGTTAAATCTAATATTCACATGATAGCCCACTTTTTGCATAATAAAATGCAAGTAGCTTGCATTCAGGAAACCCATCTTTTCCCTTCGTGAAAATATATTTTCCTGCCTATCTTCTATATCACTTTGGCTGCCGCGAAATCAGTGAAGAGATGGGATTTCCATATTTGTAAATATTTCTATAACATGTCATCAGCTACCTTTAAATATAAATAATACTTTCGAAAATATTAGTGTGTTTATTCATCAGTAATGTCAATTTATCCTAATAATCCATATACAAGCCCCCTAATATTCCATACAGATCTGATGATATTGATACCTTATTTTTCTCCCATCAACCCACATGAGTGATCGACGATTGGAATGCTAAACACGTTGCTTGGGGAAGAAGATTTAACTCACCTGCTGGTAATCTGTTGCTAGCTGACATACAAAGATTAAATCTGGCAGTGAATACTTCCGATACACCTAGCTACTATCCCTACCGCGCGTCAGAGTAAGCTGATATTCTAAATTTCGGTGTTTCTAACAACATTCGTTGTAATATTCGAGATTCAGATTTCCCTGCAACCCGATCATTGTCCCGTAGTTTTCTCACTCTACGCAACCCCAGAAGAAATTCGCCCCGCTCCGCCTTATCATTTACGTAATATCAACTAGACATTATCAGATTCTAGTTATATCATATCTACCTCCACTACCATTACTCTTAACTATATTTGATGCCCTCGACTTAATGGCCCCCACAGTGCATCAACGCACTTCGCTTCCAGCAACACCACATGTAGTGAAGTATCTAATCGATTATAAACGATATATTCTTAATAACTGGTTAAGACATCGATCTTTTCTTCTAACGTGTTATTTAAACCTCCTAACCAAAATTGTGAGACAACATTTGGCGTCCGTCCACGCGCAAAAGATTCATCTTCAAACTCAAACGGCAAACCCATCTGATCATACACTGTGGTACATAACCCGACGTCTTTTGCACAAACCTGCCAATCTACCTACCCGTGTTACTCCAACTAGAGAAGCATCTTCTCCTTCCGATAAATGCGATATGTTGGGTAATTATTTTTCATCAACCTTTACGTCTTACCCTTCTCAAAATTGGCACCACGATAATCATATTCAAGAAGTAATTGCAGGACCAGAAATAAAAGAGTTCCTGAATGCCCTAAATTTATTTTACCATCAGAAATCATAAAGTATATTTTAGTAACAACCCGAAAACTATCAAATGGCCATGATTTAATATCAACTATTTTATTGAAACGCCTCCCCATAAAAGTAATCGTACATATTACAGCAATATTTAATGCAACTTTGAGACAAATGTACTTTCCTGTGGAAATGGAAACACGCCCACATTATTCCCATTCTGAAGCCAAGGAAAGCTGAAAATCATCGAACTAGTTATCGTCCGATTAGTTTGCTACCCACAATGGGAAAACTATTTTGAAAAAATGTATACTCTGCAGGCTCTTTCCTCAGCTCAGTCAATGCCATACCACCTCATCAGTTTAGATTCCAACCCCTTTTGTCTACGAATCATCAAATCTTTTGCCTAACAGAAGATATCATCGAAAAATTTCATCACCACAAGCATACTGCAGCAGTTCTTTTAGATGTAGCTAAAGCTTTCGATACCGTCTGGCACTCGGGGTTAATTTTCAAATTCCGCAGTATAGGTACTCCATTATATCTTTCGCGCATCATTGAAAGTTTTCTTACCAACCGAACATTTTCCTTACTCTGCTTTCCTACCCGGAGCTCTCTTCACACCTTTCACCATCAAATCAGAAGTACCTCAAGGATCCACCCTCTCCCCGACTTTATTTAATGTCTATACTTCGGATATACCACGCACTCAAAATACTGCAATAGCTCTATTTGGTGAAGGATCTTCACCATCATCTCGCATTATTTTCCAATGGACCTAAAAATCTCACATTGAAATAAATCATAATAAAAGCCAGGCAAAAATATTTACCCTTCGTAGACCAGACGTCCCTCCAAATCTCCCATACCAATCACAAAACATCACCTGGCTCCCTCCCAATAAAACTTCCAAATATCTTGGAGTTCTGTTCGATAAAAGGCTTACATGGCGGCAAAATATAAACCACTAGGAATAGCGCTAGTATAGTTCATCAATTATATCCGATTCTCAAAAAATCATCCCCCCTACAACTACATGTTGCTATTCACCTCTATAACGCAATAATACGACCCATAATTTCCAATGCTTCTCCAGTATGAGCTGACGCAGACAAGACAAACATCAACAAAATCCAATTTTTTCAAAATAGATTCCTAAGCACCATTACAAAAGCTCCCTGGTGCATTCCGAATACGCAGTTACATAATGAACTTGGTATTACACCAATCCCCTTCCATTATTCCCTTTTATCCGTAAAATTCTATTCCAAACTTTTCTTAAAATCATCTCGAAATTTTTCAATGAAAATTGCCATTTAGGACAAAGTTTTACAGTTCTTTAATATTCTTAAAATATTTCCGTTCTACTATTAAGAAAAGAGAAATTTAAAAAATATCAAAAAATGCACTTTGGGTGGCGATGGATGGCAGCTAGCAAGAGTATGTAGCAAGTCCGAATAGCTAGCCGAGACCTAAGGAAATAGAAACTAATACGGGAAAGTCTGTGCCATTCTGTTGCATCACTAGTTATGCTTCATTTGGAATACCTTATATTTACCTGAGCTACTTAGGTTTTCTGCGCCATTGCACGTCCTTTAGCGTAATTACAGTCTATGGATCATTCTTCGTATAACCATCGTTCTGAGCAACATTTAAATAGATATAATATATGCTTAATCGCAAACCCTCTATGTATCGTTTATATGCTAAAACATGCACATGCGCAACTCGCCGCTAATGAAGACTGCATGAACTGACTAATGTTTAAGACGTTAGGTACTGATAGGGTTTTGTTTCTTGTGGATGTTCATTTTATGCTATAATATTAAGTTATTTTATGTATTTCTGATGCATGATTATAGTTGAAAATCATAAAATGCTTACCATTAACTCTATTTCCCCATCCTGAAGTGACGATCCTCCTTGTGCACGATCAACCAAAATACACAATTCTTTCATCTCCTTGTAATCTCGCAACAGAATTTGAGTAATAACAGGATAATAATTTTGTGCCACAGTTTTGTTACTTTTCGAAGCATAGGGAGAAACTTTTCGAATTCTTTTAATTAATTCTCGACCATTAGAGTCTGTGAAAAATATTCCTTGAGATGAAAGATGTGAAGTGTATCTCACAATCACTTCTTTGCCAAAGCGATCTCTGTCAGACAAAACATGAAATTTCGTTTGCATTACATTCTTACAAAACCATCTAATAGAAAATTAGAAATATGATTAGAACATTTCCCCGTTTTATAGAAAAAAGCAAACGGGTATTATAAACAACGTTAGATAAGTACCTGATTGGGATGGGACCAACGAGCCATTCAACTTCAACATGTTCTTCTCCTGCATATCTTCGCACCACGTGATTGATCCAATTGTACTGGCCATGAAACTCATGCACTAATGGACCTGATAGAAAGTAAACAAATGATACCTAACTAGTTCCCACCCACGGGTTTATTTTTTCCTTTACATCAAAAATATCCAAACTACGATTCCGCGTCGCTGTCACGTGACCTCTGCTTCAATTTTTTCATACTATAAAAGTCTGGCTCCGTTAGCTATCTTCAACTCGAAAATTAATTAAAGAGAATTCACTATTTTCGTTCCAAATGGAACGAATTTACAGTTTTGTTCAAAATATACCTCGGCCCCACAATGTACTGCTATTTCCAAAATACACTGCTGCGTAATAATAAACGCCGAACACAATCCACGGCTTATGCAAAACAACGCACATTCTGCAAAGTTCAAAGTTGTATTTTTAGCGTATCTTCGGTGGGACCTAGTGTCACAGGCTTTCGATAAACACAGAAATGATCGTAACATGTAGATTGTATTCTGAATGTGTGGCACGAGATGTTTTCCTCACAGACAATACTTGACACTTCCACCGATTAGGCAGAGAAATGAGGCATCGCCCAGCCGTTACAGACGCCGTACACTGTGGTGATGCCGTAACCTGCTTGGCTTTCGCGCCTGGAGGTAACGTTTCATCCCAATTGTCTCAAAGACTTTTTAACCTGGATATTCTATTCGTGAAAATTAACATAGAATCTGGGATGTTTTTGATACGTTAGCTTTCCGGACATCCAATATACATGTCGCAGTAGAAGCAGTTAATGTTTAGTAAGGATTATTCAGAAAGTGAAATTTGAAAAACCAAACAGAATTTTTAAAAAAATTTAAATTTCAAAATATATTTAATGCAAAAATACTCACCTTCAAAATCTTTATTGTAAGGTTTAAAATTAATCAAGTTACGTTTTTGGCCTGCTCGCATGACATAAGCATCTGAGGAACCATATTCGTCCTGTATCGATTCATAGAAAGAGTAAGAGAGCGTTAGACGAACCACGGCACCATGTGTGAGTAGTGACAAGAGCACATTTCCTGTGTTAGTTTCAATAACCTTGATCTAAAATGAAATAAACAAAAATATGTATTGATGTACATTTCTGCTGTTTAGTATTATGCTTTGAATTATCTGACGTTTTTCATAAAATAATGATATAATGTCAAAATAATAAGTTTTTAATTCTAACTTTATTAATACCTTATTGTTTGGGATGATTGATGAATTTGGAATTCTAATTTTCTTCAGTTTTTCCAATTTTATTTTAGACACAAAGTAGGAATTGAAGCTTAGAGGATTCAAATTTTCAGCTCTAAACACAAGTTCATGTGTTGCAGAACTATTTCTACCTCGTATTCTTTTAACAATATCAGGAATTGGAACTAATTGATTTAGAAGATAATTTCCTGGAAACAAAATATATCAGGTCATTCTGAACAAAGGCTGGCTCCCTCATTCTGTATATATTTAAAGATTTATTTTATATTCATTATGCATGTACCTTTGTCATCTTGAACTGTATATCCAGATTTTGTGACCGGAAAACGTACATAAGGTGATATCACTTGTGCTAAAGGATTGTAGATAGTTACTACAAATTGTTTGGACTGCTCAGAAGGATGACATTGACTTATGTTAAGTTGCAAGCAGTTTTCCACTTCATAGTATCTGGACTCGTTTTTGCGTTGCATCAGTTTTCTGTACATAGAAAAAATATTAACAAACAAATCATTATAACACAAAATCCAGCTTTCTGTGACTCTGTTGATTGAAGATGCATTTACAGGGGTTGGACAAAATAATATCAACACCTGACATATAAAAAGTATTTATTTATTAATATTTCACCATTTACTTTTACAACAGCTACAATTCGTCATGGAATATATTGGTAATGAATAGCTTCCAACGGAATGTTCTCCCATTTTTGTACCAAAACATCCTCCATTTGCTTCAATGATAGTGGAGCTGGAAATCCTCTCCTCACCCTCTGCTGTAAAGCGACCCCTAATGCTGAAATTGTGTTGTGGTCTGTCGTTTGTGCGAGATAGGGAAGATGTTTGATGATATTCTGATGCTCTGAAAAACCGCCGCTATACCTGAACCTTTTTTACACTGTGTATGTGCGATTAACTTTTTGAAATATGGTAGGATTTGGAATTTTACAAAGTCATTGAAAGCACTTCATTGTTGAGGATGTAGATATATTCTTCCACAGTAATCCGGCCTATGAGGGTAATGAAGGACTAACTGAATACCACGATATAGCCCCCAAATCATAACGCAAACTCCCCAAGCTTTACTGTGGAAAACTTGCAGGCCGGATCGTAGACTTGTTTTGGGGTTCTCCGGGCAAACTACCCGTTTGAAGGAAACAATGTAAACGATGATTCGTTGAACCATACCTCAGTTTTCCAGCCATCACGTGTCCAGGTTTTATGATCTGGCACCACTCCTTTCGCAGTTTTGCGTTGGCTTCCGTCATAAGTAGTTTCGCGATTGCAGCACTTCCATGAATGTTTACTTTTTTCAATTTGTTGCCTCGTGGATGCCGCAACGCATCTTCTTAATCCTTGTTGGGCGTTGAGCGCTTTCCGCGGAGCAATTCTCCATTACTGAGTAATTTCTATCTCTGTACTACATTTGTCAAGTCTCGTCACGTCGCAGTCAGTTCCTTTTATCCCTTCGGCCAGGGGCTCGGCGCCGTTAGATCCCAGGGTTCCTCGGCGGTCACCCATCTAGGAATCCAAGAGTCTCGAATTCGCTTAAACTGCTTGATTCCACGGAGCGTAGTAAACGAATTCGGCTAGCGCCGACGGATTTGTGAAGCTCGGGCGTACTGCTCTTGTGGAACTTCCTCAAGTAAGTGTTGAGTTCTGCAGTTTCTTTTGCCGCGGTAGTTTTACTTGTCTAGCCACAATCGTTACTGTTCTTTAATATTCATAAAATAATATTTCCGTCTCTACTATTAGGAAACCAAAAAATTAAGAAAATTTCAAAAAATGAACTTTGGGCGACGATGGGAGCTGTCAGGATGCCGAATAGCTAGTCGAGACCAAAGGAAATTGAAAAGAAATCCGGGAACGTATGTGCCATTCTGCAGAACACTAGTTTATAATTGATTCACTACTTGAACTAGGATTCTTCTTCTCTTCTTCACATTGTTTCATTTTTATTTCTTTATAGAGAATATTTTTGTGTCAGAAAAACTGATACACTATGTGATGAAAAGTATCCGGACACGTAGCTGAAAATGACTTACCAGTTCGTGGCGCCGTCCATCGATCCATGCCTCCCATGCTGGAATTCAATAGGGTATTGTCCCACCCTTCTCCTTGATGACACTTTCCACTCAGGCATACTTTCAATCGGGTGCTGGAAGGTTTCTTGGAGAATGGCATCCCATTCTTCACGGAGTGCTGCACTGAGGAGAGGTATCGGTGTAGGTCGTGTTATTGTCGTGTAACCACTCCGCCACAAGCCGTGCAACATGAAAAAGTGCTCGATCGTGTTGAAAGATGCAATCGCCATCCCCGATTTTCTCTTGAACAGTGGGAAGCAAAAAGGTGTTTAAAATATCAACGTAAGCCTTTGCCGAGATAGTGCCACACAAAACAATGGGTGCCCAGCCCCTCAATTAAAAGACGACCACACCATAACACCATTTTAGACGTATCCGGATACTTTTGATCACATAGTGTAATGTAGCATTTTGCCAGCGGACCGTCCAGGGCGAACGGCCGGTGAAGGGGGGGGGGGGCACTCCAAGCGCCGGGCTGGCGGGCGATGGAGCGGCTTGTGAGGTGTGGCTTTTCGCCACGGGGCTTGAGACCAGGGGCGGCGCTAAGATGAAGCACGCTGGGGCTTGGCCAGACTGAAGTGGCCTGCCTGCGGAATTTGCAGTGCTGTGGAGTGCAGCGGTTGTTTCCGGAGGGGTGTAAATATTGCATAGTAATATAAATAAATATGAATATATAAACTCAGGGTATGTGCTGAACTCGCATCACGACGTCTCAGTAGCATTTACATTTGTCCAAATACTCAAAGTCGCAAAGTGCGCTATAGATTAGCACACTTTTGATATATACTCTCTGCTTTGACCTACGATATAGGTGTATTTAGCACCAATGACAATAGTGATAAGGTGTCAAACAATATGTGAAGAACCGAAAATTTCAGCTAAATTTTTGATTACTCTTTTTTCTTTTCTATTAATCTTCTCTCGGATTAAGGTTAAGAGTAAGACATATTCACATCTGTCTTAAAGTTAAAGAAAATTATGAAAAGTGTCATGTGGGCTTAAGATACTCACGCAAAAGCTCTTGTGGTAATATCACTGCCCTTTGACAAGCCATCCATTAGAAGGCGAGTATACTCTTTAATCTTGTTTTCTTTTTCAGTGCCAGTGATAGCTTCGTGATTTTGTAGGGCTCCTACTATCTCTTTAAAAGCGTCGAGAAGCACTTTATTCTCCTGTTCTAGATCTGCTAATACAAAAAGCTGCTTACATATCTAGAAGAAAGAGTGAAAAGAGGTTTTATAGATTCAAGTTTTGAAAGAAAAGTTTTTATTCTTTAATATTTGTGGATCAATTTTTTATTTTAATAATCATAAATATACCAGTATCAATCAAAATATTCCAGTAAATGGTTCAGTTTGATCCATTGTTGGAACATCTGTTAAAAAAATGAAACAATGACAGTTTGCGTAGATTTTCGTTTTCTAAATCCTTGTTATGTGTCTGAAAATGCTTCGTTTTGTCGAGAAAAGTTCTCATTCGTATATAGAACATACTCTAATATTTTGAAGAAATTGACAAAATAGAAATTGGTTGATGCATTTTAATTTCATATTTCGCACCTTTTTTAAAAAAGTGTCCTAGTTTTTACTGCTTTGAAAATATCTTGTGTATTCCTGTGTATAAAGAAGTTCTGAAAATGAGAGATAACGTGTGTGTAATGGCGGGTGCACAAGTTTTGAATAAACAGTCCGGAATTGCATCATCTAAACCAGTCGAATATAAATATACAAATATATACCGAATATATGTTTACCGACTTTTCTGAGTATTTCACAGGAAAAAGTTTCGGAAACAGACGTCGTGAGATCAACCGCAATTTTCGAAAAGTGTTGGTCGAGCACACTTGCAACATTTACCGAATCGCTTTCTTCTTGGTCATTTCATTATCCTTTAAAACAACATTCTCCACAAAGTATCGCGATGATGAGATCATAAATTCTTCGATATTTCACATTGCTTTAATTTTGTTATTAGCGTTCAAAATATCGTGATCATTTTTCACTGTTTTTGAACGCAACATGAATTGTTTTATATTTTCCGAAGTAGGCATTGAAAGCGGATGTTAGGATGTGCAGTTTAGAACAATGTGAGGAGTACATTTTTTGAACACGATGTTCTAATTCCTTATTTTATACAGGAATTTATTTTCTGTGAAATGTTTAATTTTCTCTTTAATAGAAATTAATAGGTACGCATGTGTTAACATGAAATAAAGGCATTGTATAAAATAAGTTATATTTTCCGCTTGTGGCAACAGCGTTTTAAACTGCGTCCTACAATTCTTACAGCAAGTAATTTGTAATAATTTCTATTGATAGTTTGTATTAATAGTTTATTGATATTAATTGACATCTCTATGATCATTGACACAATATCTCAATTCATATATTTATGGAAAAGTGTGAATTAACAGTAATTTGAGACCACACTGCGGTCTCGAAAACTTTGATATGAAACTAAATAGATATTTTAACAAAATTTTCTTAACTTTTTTTACATTTGTGAATGTAACAGCATACAAACATTTCCGATGCCAAAAAACTAACACCTTCATATAGTTGTCCGTTCTTACATTTAAGTCCTGACTGTCTGGCCTTAATATAATTGAAATTTAAAGTCGAATCTATATTTTTTTAAATCTATTTTCTGAATGCAAAATTAAAGAAAAGTATCCCCTTCACAAATGCTTCGTATTGATTTTATGTGCACTTTCCAATACATTTTACTTTCTCGCGCTTAAGAAGAAACTTCTTAGGAAAAGAAATTTGTGTAATGTTGCGCGAGAAAACGGGGAATTGTCGGCAGAAAAACTCTTATTACATGGCCCTGGTAAGGAAAAAGTGAATATATTCATATGCTAAATTTATAAAAAATCTTCTAACACGTGGTGGTGCCAGATTCCCAGTTTTCGATTGACAGCAAAACGTGTATCAAAGCTAGAAGTTAAATCGTTCACCCGCTTTTCTTCAAAACTGATATTCCCCAATCGATCTGGCTGATGTCGCGGCCCCTTGAATTTGATATCGAAGTTTTAATTTTGGAAAGCCTTTACAAAAAGCCCCAGTGACATTTTCAAAATGTCAAAAACATGGCGCCAGCGATTTTAATTTAATTTTGTTGTTAGGTATTCTGAAGAGCCTTTAAGAGAATGACGCAGGTCTCACGTTTGTTGAAAAATCTCTGATTTTTGAAAATTGAAAAATATCAAAATTTTTTTCAGCGTCTTCCTACAACTAAAATATTAAAGAAGAGAAATAATTTTTTTCTGAATAAAAAGTGCTCATCAAAAACATATTTCCTAATAAGGTCATGTTTAATTTTTCAAAACTAAGAGTATTTTTGGAGTAATTCAGCATCAAAGTTAGTTGACCACTCTGAACTTACTGCGCCTCTTGATCGTAATTTAAGGTGTTTTGTGACAGTTGGAACTACGTAAATTAGAATTTATTTAGTATTTCATATTTTTGTTCGTTTCTTACATTGCAACTTTTGTTTTACGTTTACAAACTAATATTTAATTGAATTTTTTTCAACCTATAATAAATATGAATATAAAATAAATATGAAATAAATATTGCTAGCCTTCAGTCGCCAGCTCTTATTTTACGCAGTTGGTTGCTACGTAAGTTAAAATTTGTATATTATGTCATATTTCATTTTATGATAATGTATTAATGTTATTCCAATCTAAATTACGTTATTTAATTGTGTTAAATGGAAAACGAATAGATGTTCGTTGTTGTTGCCCATTGTTGTAACGCCCCACAGATACACGGTAATGACGGCTGCTTTTAGTACATTTAATGTACTTTTTTTGAAAGATATCTCACGCTGTTAATATGACATTTCCAGAAATTTGTTATCACTATTTCATTTTTGACTGGAAGTGCTTGAAATGAGTTCGTATGAACTTTTTCGCAAAGCCAATAATTTTCTGTGAAAAGAGGTTCAAAGTTGGACTTTATGGTAGCGTTTAAACGTCGGTTTCTTCTATTCCACCTCTAGTTTTTTATAAAATTCTTTTGAAATCGTAGAACATTTGGTGCTTAAATATAAGCGGAATGCGAGAAAGTAAAATAATTAAAAGTTAAAAAAATACTATACTGATATCGTTGGCAAACAGAGATCGAAAAATATATAACAGTAATTATTTAACACCATGGGGTCAATGCACTTTAAGTGGACCAGCACTGGTCGCTCGACTATCTCAAAAAAATAAAATATTTTGTACATTAATTTTCTTGTGTTTGGCAGTTCAGAAATATCTTTAACTTTTTTTTATTGTGCCTCGTTTACAAATAGTGGCCATTTTTGTTTTACGTCGTGCGCTATTTTTCGCGTTGAAAAGCCTATATCAAAAGGATTGACAGAACTTTCGCACCTTATAACAAGAATAAGCATTTTTTTCGGAGAATCTTATACCAGGAAAATCATTGTGTCAAACGTGGTATTCTAAAAATTAATCGCGGTCATTGCATTTAAGGAGTACTGTGCGACTATCCAAATCTCTGCAGTAACATTCAGGAATAATAAGCAGAATGGAAAAATAAACAAAACACACATTGATTTACTTGTTATGTTTTATAAACACTTTTTGTATAAGCTGGTTCAGATTTTAACATAAGCAAGACAATATTTTCAATTACAAGCGTAGGTGTCAAATTGTAAGTTTCTTTTTAATAAAGTATCCGTAATATTGAAAATTATATATTAAGCCACTTTTATGTTCATTAATAATAAAGAATAATTATTTTAAGTGTATGTCAATTTCAGTTCAAAATGGCTTCAAAATAATATGATTATTACTTGGCCCAACACATACTCAATATGGAAATGAAGTATTTCTTGCGTAAGTTTACAATTAAAAAAATACTTTAAGTATTATATCTTAATCTTAGAGTTAAATCTTAAAGTTGACATTTCAAGTGAAATTTGTTATCACAGCGATCTAGCATGAGTGGAATTTTCAGATTTTTACCTTATTCCCCAACAGATATTACAGTTGAAATTGAAAAAAATCCAAAATGTAAATTTTTAAGAGAATGTTTCTAGGGGAACGTTATTTAGCAATGATATTTTCAAAAAGTTATAGATGTTTTTGAACTGCCAAAACACAAGGAAATTTATCGTGTTAAAAATACGTTTTTTCCGAGATGGTCGAGCGACTAATTTATTAAATTCTGAACCACTTAAAATGGATTGACCCTATGGTGTTGAAACATTCTACAAATATATAAAAGGATTCGCTTTTATTAGTATGAAAGAATTATAATGAAAAGTACCTCATTATCCCTTTTGTTATATGTGCGGCGTTACAACAATGGATACAACCAACAATGACCATTCCTCTCTTCGTTACCACATTTCTACATCCTCTCTCTCTTTCTCTCTCTATCGCTCTCTCTCTCTCTCTCTGGCTCTCTCTCTCTTCTCTGTCTCTCTCTCTTTTCTCGTCTCTCTCTTTCTCGTCTCTCTCTCTTTCTCGTCTCTTCTCCTCTCTCGTCTCTCTCTCTTCTCGTCTCTCTCTCTCTTTCTCGGTCTCTGTTCCTCTCTTTTCTCTGTCTCTTCCGTCTCTGTCTCTCTTTCTCGGTCTCTGCTCTCTTCTCGTGTCTCTGTTCTCTCTTTCTCGTCTCTGCTCTCTTTCTCGGTCTCTGTCTCTCTTTCTCTGTCTCTGTCTCTCTTCCTTCGCGTCTCTGTCTCTCTTTCTCGTCTCTGTCTCTCTTTTCTCGTTCTCTGTCTTCTTTCTCGTCTCTGTCTCTCTTCTCTCTCTGTCTCTCTCTCCGTCTCGTCTCTCTTTCTCTCTCTCCTTCTCTCTTCTCGTTCTCTGCCTCTTTCACTGCTCTCTCTGTTCTCTTCACTGTCTCTCTCTGTCTCTCTTTCACTCTCTCTCTTCTCTCTTTCACTTCTCTCTGTCTCTCTTTCACTGTCTCTCTCTGTCTCTCTTTCACTTCCTCTTTACGTCTTCTCTTCACTGTCTCTCTCTGCTCTCTTTCACTGTCCTCCTCTTTCACTGTCTCTCCTTTCACGCTCTTCCTGCTCTCTCGCTCTCTTCCACTTCTCTCTCTGTCCTCTTCACTCTCTCTCTCTCTCTCTTTCACTGTCTCTCTTCTTCTTCCTCTTTTTTTTTCTCTCTCTTTTCACTGTCTCTCTCTCCTCGTTCCTCTTTCACTGTCTCTCTTACTGTCTCTCTTTCACTGTCTCTCTCTCCTCTCACTGTGCTCTCGTCTCTCTTTCTCACTGTCTCTCTCTCTCTCTCTTTCACTGCTCTCTCTCTTCTGTCTCTCTCTCTCCACTGTCTCTCTCTCTCTCTTTCACTGCTCTCTCTCTCTCTCTCTTTCACTGTTTCTCTCTCTCTCCTCTTTCACTGTCTCTCTCCTCTCTCTCTTTCACTGCTTTCTCTCTCTCTCTTCACTGTCTCTCTCTCTCTCTTTCACTGTCTCCTCTCTCTCTCTTTCACTGTCTCCTCTCTCTCTCTTCATGTCTCTCTCTCTCTCTCTATCTTTCACTGTCTCTCTCTCTCTCTCTATCTTTCACTCTGTCTCTCTCTCTCTCTCTATCTTTCACTCTGTCTCTCTCTCTCTCTATCTTTCACTCTGTCTCTCTCTCTCTCTCTTTCACTCTGTCTCTCTCTCTCTCTTTCACTCTGTCTCTCTCTCTCTCTCTTTCACTCTGTCTCTCTCTCTCTCTCTTTCACTCTGTCTCTCTCTCTCTCTCTCTTTCACTCTGTCTCTCTCTCTCTCGGGAAATATTCATGAAAAAAAAAAGAACAAAGAACAAAACCAAATATTCATGTCAAATTCAAACCACGGCAAGATTTTGACTCTATATCGTTAAGTAATTCCTAAACGAAGCGTTCTAGGGCATTAAAAAACTAAAATGTTGAAGCAAAAGACCTCATAGAAAAGTGTTTCGCACTGCAATCTGCACTTCTTGAACATTCTATTACATATTTGCTGGTCCGACGAATCTCAATATTACCCCACTTGCTCAGAGATGTGTATGAAAGGGACACAGAGAGAGAAAAGAGAGAGAGAGAGAGAGAGAGAGAGAGAGAGAGAGAAAGAGAATAACAGACGGAGAGAGTGAGACCGAGAGGGTGAGAAAAGAGACGGAGAGGGAGAGAGAGGGATAGTTTGCTGCTGGCATGATGTGGGAGGAAAGAGGGAGGCTGAGAGCGAGAAGAAAGGAGGAGGCTGAAAGCGAGAAGAAAGGGGGAGGCTTCGAAAAAGTTAACGAGTTCTTATTTCAAAATCTGTTTTGATAAACACATTTTATTGGCCAAAAAATGTATCATCGTATTTGAAATTGTAGGAAGACACCGAAAAAATGTTGAATTTTTTCAATTTTCAGAAACGCAGTTTTCAACTATCATGAAACTTGTACGATTTTCTTAAATGTCTTTCATACTCTCCACACACAAAATTTCATCAATAATGATGGACTCGTTTTTCAGAGAAAAATGTTCAAACAAAAATTTAAATTATATTTCACGTAAAATCACACAAAAAATACACAACTTTTTGTAAAATTTTACATTACTTTATTTCAAGATATATTTTTAAGAAACATTTTTTATGAAGGGACAAATTCTCTATCTTTAATATTTTAACTGCAGAAAGATGCTGAAAAAGTTTGATATTTCAATTTTCGAAAGTTCAGTTTTCAACAAACATGAGACATGTGACATATTAAACGTCCTTCAGACTATCCAACAACAAAATTTAATTAAAATCATTGCGCAATTTTTATGAAAATGTAGAAAATGTGCCATGGAGTTTCATGTAAAGTACTCCCAAAATTGAAATATCAATTCAAGGGCCGCGACATCAGCCTGATCGATTGGGGAATGTCAATTTTGGAGAAAATCGGCTGAACGGTTTAGCGGCTAGCGTTAACAGAAAGATGGACAGACGTTTTGCCGTCATTCGACTTTTCTTTCTAGAGGACCCACAAAACAGGGATTTTGATTACACCATGTGTTAGCGAATTTTGTTTTCTAAATTTAGAAACTGGATTTATCCACTTTTTCGGCTCTGTATTAAGAGTTTTTCTGCCGAAAATTCTGTTTTTTTCGCGCAGCATTAAATAACTTTGTCTTTTTAAGAAGTTCCTTCTTAAGCGTGAGAAATTAAAAATTGGAGGTGTTGGCGCAATTCTTGCTTCAGATTCGGCTTCAGCGCGTGGAAATGCATATAGTAACATGTGTCAAGTCTTTGGGTAAACAACTCCCGAAAACAAAAATACTATGTCACGATGGTTTTTTTCGATTTTAAAAAATGGAGGGTGATAACGCAATTCTGACTTCAGATTCAGAATCAATATATAGGAATCGTGTACTCGTATTAGTGGAATCCAACTCTGTTTAAACAATCACTAGTATTGACTGAGAGAGATTTATATTGAACCCAAACTGATAGTCTTCCACAGAAATGAAAATGAAAAAATGTTACACAATGTATCATTGTTTCAACGCTGTATGTAAACCAATCGTAAATATTTAAGTACGTGCTAAGAAGTAATGAAAAATTATTTGCAATAATAAAAATAATTTCAGACTTCGTATATTTTCGTCATAATAAAATTAATTAGTTTTAAATGTGTGAATAAATTAGTAAAATTTGAATTAGGCATGCATAAAAAGAAAGGTAAAGAATATTTAAAGTTATTCTCAAGTCAAAATTCTGTGATACATAAACTTATCTATATGGAAAATTATCTATTATCAAAACAATAGACCCATATAAATTTAACTTACTTGTAAGAAATTATTGGCAATATGTGCTTGATACTTGCGGGTAGGGCAAGACGTGTAGTATCCCGACCAGAAATTGTGTGCATTACTAGCATAGGGAAAGAAGTCATTCTTGAAAGTGGTCCAAATGAAGTTCACATCTTTAACCGCTTTTAAATAGCAATTGGGTGTGGAGTAGAGGATATTAAATTTTTTCCCAATATCCTGATTAGCATTCACATACCTGTATAAAAGAAAAATACGGCAATGCGGACTCGTTAAATAAGAAAATAAATAACTTCATGGCTTTGTATTTCGATATGAGTTAAATATATAACAGGTAAAAATCACATAGCCTTTTTAATAAAATGAAAGCAAATAACAAAAAGTTAGTTAATTATCAATAATTATTCTACATGATTCTTTGTCATACTATAAATATATTTGCAATACTTTTTGTATTCAGTATAAATCTTCCAAAATCTAAACTGAAATACTATGTCAATATTTTAAATAAATGGGATATCCCAGTTCAACTCCAAAAAGTGTTTACCTAATGACTTGTTCAAGATTTGAGTACCATGTTTCTGCATCCTCATAACGGAAGTTACTGCTCATTTTTACTCCAACGAATATATTGTTGGTAAGATAATGCCTTGATTGATGGTTAATTGTCTCCAGAAGATTATTCACCTTAAATGGCATAAAACAATACTTACATAAAATCTCATACATCTGTAAGAAAACTAATCTTAATCTTTTATAGACACATTTGATGAAAAAATATTTTGTATAATGTATTTGCTAGATAATACGCACCTTTTGCTTTATTCTGTACAAAGAACTATATTTATCATTATCATTAACGGTGAAATTACTACACAAGAAATCCATGTAGAAGTCGTGTGGTTCATCAGTTTCAGTGTACAGAATGTGAGTAAAAAGATCTGCTGCTGGACCTGTGAAATAAAGAAATAATTAAAATTACAATTTTTCTCCCTTCTTCCATTATCTTTTTTCTTTCTTTCTTTCTTTCTTTCTTTCTCTTTTTTTCTTTCTAATAGCGATAGAGCTCAGATGGATTCAAAATTTTAAATTCAATTTCTTGAACAAACAGGGTAGAATTCACTTATCAAGTAGATCTTCAATTTTCACAATTAATATGGAATTACCAAAACGTTTTATGCCCCTCGTAAGACTACATTATTGGAGATAGATATTTTTTCTTCTTATGAATTTTTTTCTCCACGATTACTTCTTTGGTTGATGTTAAACAAATGTTTAAGGTAGTAATTTTTACTCAACATTCATTGAAATATTGAAAACAAACCTTTCTTAAAAACCACTCCATTTTCTTTACACTCTCTGTGTGGATGATGCTAAATGCTCTGAATAAGATAACATTAAAGGCATTTTGATGTTTTCTCTTATTTTTCAAATATTACTAAAGTACTTTTCTGGAAATATACCTCATAACGTTAATATTTATATTGTGAGATTTTTTACACTTTATTGCATTAGTGAGTGCAAGGGCTTCAAATTATTTCCAATAAAGTTTCTTAAAAACTCAAAAGGTTTCTGTGAAAATGAGCAATTTTAAGCTTTTCAGAAATACTCAAATGACATTTTCTGCAAACTGGCTTCAAATTTTATTCTAAAACCTTTTGGTATGGGTTTTGCTTAATGCACTAAATAACATGACGTAAAGCTAATTTTATCAAAATAAAGTTGCATACTGTGCAAACTCCCAGATGAAGAAATAACCGATACCTAGACTGGAGCTTCCTTGCCACACCATCTCCATCTCCTTTTGGTTCAGGCGTTGCCTTTTGTCGTTGTAGTGAACGTGGCCGAGGAAGAGCCCGTCGTAGCCCATCTGAGCAAAGATGGCGGCCATCTCCCGCGAGTGGCCGAAGGGGTCGATCTGCCAGCCCACGCGCGGACGCCCGCACTCGCCGAAGGTGTCGTTGAGCAGCCTAAAACAATAACCAATCGCCCCCATGAGATGGCATGGGAAGGGAAGTGTGCGATCAGAAGCGTGAAGAACATACAATATGTGAAGTTTTCTTGCTATTCCACAGCGGTGGATGAGTGGAGAGGAGGTATTTGCCTATGTCACTGCTTAAAAGAGCATAACAACTATTGGTATGAACTTTGTACATCAAAGCGTAGAACGAGGTGGTAGTAGTATCTCAATGGGCTGTGTTATTCAGCGCTGGACAAGGACTAGGGAGATCGTGTATTAAGAAAACTTGCGCGAGCAATATTCTCAAAAATGTTGTAGTGTTCCAAAAGAGTCATTGATCAAAAGATCCATTAAGTATAAAGGTCATGTAACTCTTTACTGGGAATCAAGCATCACTTGGTAATATCACATGTAATATCATTGATCTTATGGACAAATGTATGAGCCGCGGACATACTAGTGAAATTATGTGAAAGAGATATTGTAACCACCACGAACTGTCCACTGAACATCAGACATGAAGGCGACCAACTACCCACACTGTCGTGACAACACACATGAAACAAGATGATTGTTCTGAGTTGGATTGTGTAGTAGTAGTACCTTCAGTCGGGATTCCTCTCGATTACCCCGACTATAAATCTGCATGCCTTCTATATTCACCCACGTGGGCCTCTGCGGAGTCCCACTGTCCCTTACATAAATGAACTCAATTGAGATCTCACGAAACTCTTCGAAACTCACATCGATATAGCCCTTGGCACTAGCTCAGTCCTGTTGCGGGTAAACTGTTCCAATCTCTAATTACTGTTACAAAATGAAAATTTCCCAAGATATGAAAGTTGTTTCCTTGTTAGAATTTTGAGTGTGTGATCATTTCGACCGAAATAATTTGGTTTTACTAGTCTGACCTAAATTTCCTTCCAAGGTGGTCGACCTGCGTACCATTTATAAAGCGTACAAAGCTTCGCTCTTGTTCTTTGCTTTTCTAGAGATTCCCATGTCTTTTTTATTGCGTTAGTTCTGTAGGTAAACTTATTCGCATTCCTGAGTATTCTATCTAGATATTTCCGGTGCGAATTTATGTACGGATCCCAACACGCCACTTAGTATTCCATGAGAGGGCAAACCAGCGAAAGATACGCTAATTCTTTGGCGTTTGTAGAACTTTTCTTTAGAATTCGCTTTACAAAATGTAAGGACGTACACGTTTTTCTCACTGCCTGATTTATATGCTTTCCCTACTCTATTTCACTGTCCAGATCAATGACTAAAGGATAACTTGCGTGGCAGACCCTTAGAATAATAACCTCTCGTAAACGATAGTCTGGTTCTTCATAATTTCATCCCCGTCCGAAAGTTTTTTTTTCTTTCGATCCGTTAATTTCCATGTCATTTGTTTCGGCTTAATAACGTAACTGTTCTCAATCCTATTGTAATATTTTTTGTCAACGCTACATTGGAGTTTGCTATACATAACACAATTGTCTGCAATTAAACGTACCTTTTATTGTATCTTAACATGAAGATCAAGTACGCTAAGAAAGTAATGGCTCTAAAACACTTCCGTGTGGAACGCCTGATGTAACAACATCCACCGTCGAAAATTTAGTTCTAATTCGAGCTTTTTGTTTCCTGTCTCTAAGAAATCAGCTTAACCACTTCACAACTCTAGCATCAACTCCTGAAATTAATAATTTCCTAATAAATAAATCATGCAGTACTACGTCGAATGCTTTCACAAAGTCAATTACGACTGCATCCACTCTCCCACCCGTGCCAACTTCGTCAGCTAGATCTTGAAAAAGACAAACAATTTGGCTCTCTCGCGTATATTTCTAAACCCATGCTGTCCGTGAAGAATCCAGTACGCTTTTTGCTATTCGCGGCGATTGTACCCGACCATTAAATGTTTCATTATTTTGCATAATATTAATGTGAGAGATACTAGTCTATAATTACATACTTTCGTTTTTACGCCGCTTTTTGAAAATTAGAACAATTATAGTTGAACCGAATTCCAATAGAAACATTCTTAACAAATAAGACAATACTGCCTCACCACCGAGTTCAATAAAAGCCGTCTGGCCCGCGGGATTTACCGTTTTCTAGTTACTTTATTCCTTTGCTGGTTTTCAATTCGATAATAATTAACTTGCTCCTGTACCCGTTTTGGTTTGGATACCGTTACAAAATACGCTTAAACGCGTTTGCTTTCACTTGGTTGTCGATGAAAGATTTCACTCGTTCCTTGCTCTTGCGATAAAACTTCCGTCATGCCAAATCTTTAAATTATATAGTACTGGATAACATATTAATGGTGATCTAACTGATGCGAGTTGTGTTAACTGTGGTAGGGCGCGACGAGCACTCACCGCAGGCCCCAGGTCATCTGGTCGATGATGGCCTGGTAGTGGGTGACGGCCTCGTCGTTCGTGCTCCAGCCGCCGCCGATGAACTCCAGACGGCCCTGCTGCACCAGTTTTCGCACTTGCTTGCGACTGGCTGCGTTTTGGAGGCTCCACCATTTCCAAAAGAACGCCGTATTTGCGAATACGAACCTCCACAGACATTAAAACGATTACGTTGTCAACATGGACGAATAATAGCATTAACATTTTAAAAATATTCTTAAAGCTATAACTAGAAAGGAGTCTCCAATGATTTTTAAAGTAATTTTATATTGACTCATAATTATGAAAAAACATTTAATGCTAATTTTTCGTAATTGTAAAACTTATCCCTTTCGTGACCAGTGAGACATACAAGTATATCCCATCTGATATAGTTCTCTACACTTTCGCTCGGATATATAACCCTCTATATGTGCATTCTGCACTCTTCTAGAAAGTGTGTGTGCTGCGTTCTAATGCTTGTTTGCGAGTGATTCCAAAAATTGTATGTTTTATTGTCGCTGTTATAGAAAGGTACATATTGCGTTCCTCATTTGGGAAAGTTTTATTTGTCGCTGTGCGTTTTATTTTGTTGTAAGTTTTTTGTTTATTTTCAATTAATTAGTTAATTATATTGCTGCGAAAATATTTTTAATGCGAAGTTACTAGTGATTTTGCGATTTTTTGTCTCGTGTTTCAAAAAGTTTTACCATTGGACACTTCTTTTGTTCCTGCGCATTTTGTTGTTTTAATATTTATTTTTAATTATTTAATTCGATGTTTTTCATTCCAAATTGATTACTGGGATTTCTCTACGTTGACTGTGAATCGTATTTTTTTGCAGTTATTGTGTAGCAAAAAGGAAAAAGACATACATAATGTGCCAGAAATGCAAATTAACTCATTACATTGATCCCTGCTTATCGAAATTTTATTACAAATATATGTAATTGTTATTACTTTTCGGTTATTGCGTTGTTTCACAAATAAAATTGTAGAAAAACTTCATTTTCTTCCCATTATTATATTCTATCATGACCGTCAGAGACCATTGAAACAGATATGTACCAGTAACAATTTCTAAAAAACTAAACATTAACAGCAATTTTTAGTTATTTATAATGAAATAGTAACTAAATATTTTCTTAAATACAAAGTTATTTCAAAATTACAACACAAAAATCGTCCCTAAAGGGTTATATCTCTGTCATTTTGAATACAATATCTAGTATTTCATTATTAACTGGTGTTTTTATAGTTTGATCATGGTTGAGTTCCATTAAGAGAAAAATTCGGCACTTGTTTTCCCACACTAGTTTACTTACACTAATATTTCCGATTTTCGATATATTTTTTTGTAGAAATTAAATCAGTACTGTAATGCAGCGTTCGTATTTACCTTCTATTTGCATTGCGCAGGAGAGCTTCAACCACGAAACTCAAGATGTTCGGGACCGTGATTTCGAAAGCTGAGAAAAAATAAACCAGCATTAATAACTACAAACCAATATAATTTGTCGGGTAGGGCATTCATATCTACTTCTTTGGGTAACAATCTAATGTCTGAAATTGGGATGTGTCTTATTGGGGCGCAAATTACTCCAGCAAATATAGTTTACATTGCTTTACAACTGCTGAGCCGAATTCAAATTCAATTTGTAAAACTTTTTTTTTATTTGTAAAAGTGTTCTGAATCATATAATTCTGATTTACATATTAAATATTTTATTTTTAGGTGGGATTTAAGTGTTATTTTAATAATGATTTTTGCTTTGTTAAATTTATTAAATTGTTTCCACCGAGATTAAAGAAGTACTTGTTTCCAGTGAGTTAGCAATTTTGTCATAGAAACTGTCCCTTCATTATCAGCAATGTTCTTTGCATAATCATGCATTTTCCTTTACCTTAAATGTTACCCTAGGCACTCAATAACAACTGCAAAGTGTCAAAGTTGTACACAGTTTTGACTAACTATTGATAAATGTAAGCAGTCTCTTCATAAAGGACTCTGCATACTTTTTACTATTCTTATTCATAAATGTGTTTATATTTCTCTAACAACAATGTTGATATTGCAAATTCTTCTTTAAAAATATTTTATAACATATCCATTTATGAATAAATAAAATAGTCGGGTTTGTTACACCATTTATAACTCATGAACAGCTGAACCACTTTTAATTATCTCTGATTTGTTGGATTCATCTCCACCCCAAATAGCTGAATAACTAAAATAAAATAAAAAAAGGAAAATTCCCTAAAAGAAAATATTCATGTCAATTGCGCGACACACTCGATATATTTTTTAAAATGTACATAGTTAAATAACTCCTAAACGAAACGTTGTAAGCCATTAAAATAAAAAAAAATTGGGATCAAAAGCTCCAAAGAAACTGTTGCTTCACCGTTATATACAGGGCGAGACCTTTTTGAAAATTTTATTACATTTTTCCTTGTTTGCGCTTCTCGATATTACCCTACCTGCTCAGAGTCGTGTAGAATCTGCAACTAAATGTGTGTGAAACACACAGAGACAGTCAAACAGACCAGGAGAGAGGCAAAAAAAAAAGACGGAGTGGGAGAAAGATGGAGAGGGAAGGATATAAGAGGGAGATGAAGGACAGAACAAAACACATACATACATACATACATACATATATACTAGCGGATCCTGGCAGACGTATTATATATATATAAACACACACACATACATACATACACTGGCGAACCCCCCTTCTGCAACCATAACTTCCATTCAATCGCCCGTTGGGGTGGTTCGCAGATATCGTGCTTATGCGAGCTAATAATATCACAGGGCATTGGGATCTTTTGGGGCGTTGAGAGCCAATCCAAGAACAAGAATACACAAATCAGTTAAACTGGGTTTAATGGTTTCAAAAAACCACTTCGTCTCGTACAAATTGCACTATATTAAAAAAACACATACACAAAACTTGAGACCCTTTTCAATGACTTAAAAACTACTCACAAATTAATCACCCTAATAACTACTGGAAATTCCCTTTAACTCTGCTTGACTAAATCTGTTACTATTCCTATTTACATTTAACATGAACAAAATTTACAATTTATCATTCTTCCCCAAACAAGCAAAACAGGCAAACAGGTTACAGGCAAAATGTGTGGAAGTACACCACTCTTTACACAATTTTCTCTGTGGCAATGAATAAAAAGAATGAATATGACCTATTTACAATTTCTTTGTAAGTAATAGTGTTTCAAAATGGCTAGAACTTTGAATTGAATTCTGTTGCCTCCCGTGTCCTTAATTCCCTCGCACTTTCATTCTCCCCGGCCGACGTGAACTTGACCTATTTGTGCGGTGCTCGCGCACCGTTACCTTACTGGATTTTTACGTCTGTCCTTGGTGCACTGGCCTCTGCGTCGACGCCGCTCGCTTCCCCAGTTTCTTCGATGGCGGGATTCGACTCGGCCGATTGATCGATCCCTTCTCGCGTCCTCTTCCGCTCTTGATCTCCCGGATCCGTCCTCTTCTGCCTCCTACGCCCGGTGCCGTCCTCTTCTGCCTCCTACGCCCGGTGCCGTCTCTTCTGCGCTCCTACGCCCGGCGTCCCTTTCTGCCTCCTACGCCGCGTTGCCGTCCTCTTCTGCTCCTTACGCCGTGCCGTCCTCTTCTGCCTCCTACGCCCGGTGCCGTCCTTTCTGCCTCCTACGCCCGGTGCCGTCCTCCTTCTGCCTCCTACGGCCGGTGCCGTCCTTTCTGCCCTCTACCGCCCGGGTGCCGTCCTCTTCTGCTCCTACGCCCGGTGCGCGTCTCGCCGGTCTTTCTTCGTCGTCTAGCCCCCCGTCCTTTTACTACGCCCGCGTGCGAATGTTTCTTTCGCACCTCACAGGATAACTCGTGCGAATTCCATTCGTGCAGGACTCTCGCTGTTGATTGCACTTTACTAGACCTCAGCGCGTACCACTTTCCTAATAACAGGTAAATTCACTCCCCGCATCGTTAACCGAAGTAGTACTTTCTTCCGGAAAACTATAAAATTTCGCGAACGGTTGACTTGGCGTCTATTTGACGTCCAACAGTCCTATATAATAAACGCATTCGTTACTGCGGCGGACAATATCTAAGGCGAATGATGCTGGCTTGGCGAGCGGCAACGAAAGAGCCACTAATCGCGGTTTCGCGTATTTATGTACGCGTCCTCCGATGTAGGGTAGGGCGGCGTCTCCCGTTCACCGGCTGATTTCTCGTCATTTTTCTGCGCTGTTTTCCTGCGTTGGGCACCGACGGCGGAAAACAGATTCCTTGGCGGCGCTTTTGAAGTGCGCCACGCTCGCTCACCCGTTCTGCCACAGACGTTATGACGTTTGGGCATGTGGGACGAACCTACTCACTGCGTTCTTCACACGACAAAAATTTACAATTTATCATTCTTCCCCAAACAATGTTACAGGCATTATATATAATATATATATATATACTATAATATAATATATATATATAAAGTCGGGTGAGATGCGCCATTTATAACTCAAGAACTTCATCTCCGCCTCGAAAAGCAGAATAATTAATAAAATATCGAAGAAATTCATGAAAAAAAGAACAAAACTGAATATGAATGCCATATGCAACCCGGAACACTCGACAGATTTTTTTTTACACAATATCGTTAAATAACTCCTAATCCAAGCGTTGTATGGCAATAAAAACTAAAATATTGAGACCAGAGGCATCTAACAAACTTTTCTCATACCGTAATCTATGGGATGCGATAGCGTTTCCAAACGAGTTCCGCTTCAATTTGTGGTACAGCTAAGGCCGCATGTTCGACGCTACCGTGATGATCGTAATATGCTAGACTGCATTGCTTCGCGCCATAAAAGACAAACGTTAAGTGTGGCTGTTTGAGGCGCTATTGGCTACAGTGTGATATCATCAGGGAGGTTTTATAACCCGAGGTACTGTCTTTCCTGCAAGTAGCTCCACGTGCTGTATTTCAGCAGGAAAATGCCCGACCGCATGTGGCGTGGAATGTGCAAAATTTCTGCGGATAAACGACAGGTAACTACCTCAGCTTCCCTTCGTAAACATTCGCTTGACACATCGCCTATCGAACATGTCTGGGTTATGATTGGTCGGAAACTTGTTCGTTCTGGTCCTCCTGCAGCTGCTGTTGATGCTGTGTGGTCACTCATATAAACCGCGTCAGTGTGTTCCCCAGCAGCATATCCATGCTCTTTGCATCCATGCCACAACTAGAAGCTCTTATAGCAGCGCGTGGCCGCTTCACGCCGTACTAAAACTCAATATCAAAATACAGGTAAAGTTCGGTAATTTTTATCATTTGTACATAATGATTTCCAAATCGGTGGAATAAATTTCATTGTAATAGTAGGTCTCCTTCCTGGCGTTTCAATTTTCACAATGGGTGCGTATGTGTATTCCCCAGAATCTACGTGGGTCATAGAATATTTTAAGTTTGAATTCTCCTAAGTTGTAGCAGAAAAAACAGCAATTAGCGTAGTCCAATACGAGTAGTAGAATAAAAATATTACCTTAATAATATTAAATAAGAGTAAAAACCCCGCCCTAAAAGGGAAATTTAATTGAAAATTTTAAAGCTGTTTTTAAGCCGCGTTTAAGCGTTACTGTAAATGCGAAATCTGAAGCTCTTTTTCACTAAAAAAATTATTGAGTTGTTTTTCTGGCGTCTTCCTACAACTACAAAACTGAAGATCGAGATTTTTCCTTCAAATTAATTTTTTCTCCATGATAAGTTTTTTCAATAAGATCGTGTACATTCTTGAAAATTTTAGTATTTTCGTGCAATATTGCGAGCAATATGTGCAATTTTTCTAAACAATTACAAAAATACGATTTTCTAAAAAACTGTCCCATATTTTTCTCTTTTAACTTCGTATAAGGTTAGTACTAAATGTACTCTTTGAGATGACGTAAACATCAGTTTGCTCTATCCTTTTGTCTTGTCAAAAATTACAAAAATTTAATTTTTTGACTTCTCTCGCGTCGTTAATATTTATATTAGCGGCCATTTATTCTCATTATTATATTAATGAGTATTTGTGATTTAAATATTCTAGTATATAAAAACAGTGGTTGGTTGTTGGTTCGTTCTTAATGCGCACGAGAGAGAGAGAGAGAGAGAGAGAGAGAGAGAGAGAGAATTGTTAAAAATAATTCAATATAGAAACTTATACCAGATCGGAAATGCAGTTTTCTGGGGGAGGGAGTGTATTATCTTCTATAATTCAAGTTATATTGACATTTCAAGAGAACTAAACTTGGCCGGCACGAAGACTAGAAATGTGGAGAGTTAATGGATAATGACCTGGGTTTCGCCATAAATATCAAGCTGGTTAACAGTATAATTTTGGGAGACAAAGGAAACATTATTTTCAACAATAAATACTATTTCATTAATTTAAGACTTTTTTAACATCTTGATTAAAAACCTCAGGCATTTATATTTTGAAATATTTAATAAACATGAAGATATGACGTTTTTTACTGATATTAAATTCGTAAAATTAACGAATGAAATGAAAGTTACAGATGTAATATACAAATTACGGCTAGAATGATGCATATGGCCATAATAATTTGAAATTATGATCGATGTCCAGCTCAAGATTCTTAATGAAATATAATGATGAGGTGACAAGGAAAAGGTAATGAAATATAAGTCCGGAATGTGACTAAATGTAGAATGAAATCTGACATCTATAACGTCATTCTCGCTAGGTAGTGCGGAATTCCAACATGCAGCCTAAATTCAAATTTTCCTTGTTGAGGTTTTTCTCGTACAACTAATTTTCCATAACCTTGTTATGAAGGCTATGGAATAGCGAGACCTATTAAGATACCGAGAAGGAATTAATATTACGGGAAATTTATATTATCCTTTTTCCTCATCCTGAATAATGTGCGGGTATTATAAACTTCGACTCGTTTCTAGATTCGATTCCAGGGGGTGGCTATGATTTCCTTTTGGGGGAAGGGACACAATAATATCGGAATCAGAAAAGAGAAATTATTTGGAAGACATTCGTAATTTTCTATGATACTCTAAACAAATATCAATTAATCAAACCGTAATTACTAATTATTTTTGAACTTTTGCAATCGATCATTGCGCAACTTTCTATTTGCATGCCTCTCTTGAAATAAGCAATGATTATTGCTCAGGAGCATTCTCTAGTTCTTCGTAATGAATTTTGTTGAAAAGATAAAATATTTTTCTTTTTTATTCTCACTTTTAAATTTACTCCAGATTCTTTTCATAAAATTCCACAAAGCAACGAATGTTTGCTATCAATAGTGAACCTCGTGGCATTTTCTTGAGCTGGGCAATTGCCGTCTCTTTCGTTGGAGTACAAACGGTATTGTGGTAGATGTCTCTGGTCTTTTTTTAATGCGAATCAAAATGATACGCAGATTGTCATGTAATGTCTGTTAACCCCCACAATGGATCCCTTACAATGAACTTATAAAAAAACAGTTAAAGTAGTACCTACCGTTATTGAGTAAAATTATTGTTCCTCACGAGAATTGAGAACCGGTTGGTAAATTGATTGCTTGTTAATTTAAAGGAGATGTAGGAGAAAATAAATTGATCATTAATTTTTACCTTGTGAAAATATTCACATGTTTCAGTACCAGTCATCTGCCTTCGCATGCCTAAGCTCGTCCATATGGAAACAAGCAAGCTCTTACGCATTCGAACATCTACTTACTCGCGCTGACGGTGTCACACAAAATTAAGACATCACGACTGTACTATACTCACAGGGGAAACCAGCTTTGTTCCATTCGAAGTCATAAGTCTGCGGCACTAGGTGAACGTTGATCTTATTCTTCTCTGGAGTGGAGCAAGCCTACAAACAAGGCGACACACGTAAAGTATAATAATTTACAGTCAACCATTTAAAACAAATTCACGCATTGGTGTATACTATATCGTTTCCTGGCTTTTCAAGTTAAAACACACCACAGTAAGATTTAACCTCGAACTGTACATCGCCATCACCAACACACTTGTGAATACACGGTCTGGGTGTCACGGAACACTTCCATCCACCGCGATAGGCGAGGGATAAACAACTCAACAAACTCAATTCATGACCCGTCGCTTTGAGGCGTTGGGTACCCGCCATTCAAATTTGGTGTTAATTATATGCATGCCGCACTAATCACCCCAATTTTTATTAGTACACTTTCCTAAATTTTCAACTACAAGCATGGTATTTCGTACACTAAAAAGAGTTAACTGGTCATTAGTTGAGAGAAATCCGCAAAAGCCTCCAACTGACAGTTTCATTACATCGAACATCATCGATGTATTTACGGATCTCACCTGGTAACCACAGTGAATTGTAGTCTCGCGTGACTGTGTTGGTTGAGAGAGCGAATTTACTCCTGATGCAAACAGAAGGAACAGAGACAAGAGCGCCGCAGCCATGTTGCAAGGTCTGCAGACCAGGCAACAAGGAAAGGCGGCACGTCCCTCGTCCGCGAGCTCACACTTCCTTCTAACTTCTGCGTCCGCTCTAAGCTGCTTTTAAGAAACCGTGAGGTATACATGGTGTGGGAATGGCAGATTTAAACCGATTGGTTTTCCAAAGACGCAACTGGCAAAATATTAATGTCATATTTTTTAAATATTTTAGCCGTTTATTGAAGGTTTATACGATTTTGGGATGAGGTACTATACATTAAACATTTGGTATCATAATTTGAAATCTGCAAATACAACATTGGTAGGGCAATCGCCATTTTCGCGGACTGCAAAGTTTCTACACATGCTGTAGGGTCATAACGCTAAACAGGGAGGGAGGTTGAGGCAGCATTACGCTGCGTATCATAGGGGTAGGGAGTATTAGTTTATTAAGTAACGTTGATCTTTTTTTACATTTTTCAACATTTGCTGAAATACTTTTTTTTAGTCTCGCCAAAATATAACCTAATTAATTTGTTTTAAGCACAAAATATAAATTGAAGTTATTAGATTAAATGCCAATTAATTTTTTTTTTAATTTTGTATTCAATTTGTAAGATTATGAAGAAAATATTCAAACCTAATGTGTAGTGTAGTATACTAGAATACATTTAAATTGATGCAGTGGACTCTCACCCATGCGTCATCCACGAGGACGTGTGCACAACTTGTGAACAACAATTTTCTCTGCTATGCGTCCTTCCTTCACTCATAAATGGCAATCTTATTGTTAGATGCAATCTGCTTCGTCAATAATTCCGAGTCCATTGTAAATTTTAGTATACAACACAAATAAAATGAATTCAAATTGTTTTTACTGCGCTATAATTTATTTTCACTTCTTGCATTTACAACAAGGGGGTGTTGACGTAGGTGTGACAAGGGGGCATTACGTAATTATTTAGAGGGGGTTCAAGCGCATACGGTTGCGTTAAAGGGGGGGGAGTGTTCGAAGTACTCCAAATTTATGTTACGTAATTTATAAACGGCCTCGATGCACAGAAGCTTCCAAAAACATTGTGCTGGAAACCATTACTTGTAAAACATGGCTTAAACATTTAACCAATTGTACAAATCAAAAACCATCTACCCACAATTTCGACCTGGGCGAATGATTTTGTATTTAGATGAAAATGTATTAGTAAAAATTGCAAATTGTCACATTTCATCATCCCAAGCACAATATTAATATTGAAGAACACATATTTTTGGAGGTCTACCACCAATTTTATTATCATTCGTATACAGTGTTGTATACAGTGGTGGAATTTGGGGGTGGCAAAGGTTGCCCCCCCCCCTTGCAATTTTGGGAAAGCAAAGAAAATGTTTAAGTTTACTGTATATGATATTCAATTTGCTCTGAAGTCGAATTTGCCTCCCAAATAGATCTGAAAGCCCACTACTGGCTGTATGTATAAATTTATTTGTTTGTTTAGGTTGTTACTTTTATTCATTTTTACTTAAGAATCTCAAGAACATTAGGCCTAATCATAAATACTTGATCATTTCATTCACACTACACAATGGAGCTACCGAAAGTTCAAGTACTCTTCGTAATTCACTGTGCACAATTTATTTTTCTTTACATTCCAGAGGAATTTCCACTTTATACATTAGATGAGAAATCTACAGCTACATGAAGTAGCTAGTAAAGGGGGTAGCAAAATAAGATAAGTCAAAGTGCCCTCAGTGATAGATTTCTTTTTTGTTGAAAATCATATTTGAAGTGCACAAAAAACTAGATTTTCAATGTATTTAAATTAGTTTACAGGGAATACTTCACATTTTTGCTTCTTATATCAGTTTAATTTTTTTTTAACCACACTACTCCTGTGAATATTGACTTCAATCATTCTTGTGATTTTCTGCTGATGATACAGAAGTTTTGACATTTTTTTCAGACTATATCATATTTTAACCCTTATAATTAACAACAAAAAAATGTGGGAAAATAAGAAAAAAACTTTTTTTATTCTTGTCTTTTTAAGAATATCTTATGTTCTGACACGGATCATTAAAGGGGCTGAATACAAATTGTAGCCCTGTAAATTCTCTACAGTTCTCCTAAATTTCAACTTTCTATCATATAATTTGCTATGTCAGCTCAACATAAAAAAGATAATTATAAATATTAATATAATACATAAATTTAATAGTTGCTAATTTATTTATGTATATTTGGTTATGTTTGATTAGTTTTTGTAGTTTTCTATTTAGTTTTTATTTTATGTTTATTAGAAAGGATAATGAAAAATTATATTATAAGAATAATAATACAACCTATTGTAATTTGAATATTGAATGATTTAAGATTTTTACTGAGAATTATGAGTTTATATACTTTATCCAGAATACATTTATTTCTTTGATTTGTCAGTGTATTTAATAATAACACCAATTCTTGTCCTCTGAAATTATGCAAAAGTTCAACAAGAAACCACTTTCAAATTAAGTGTGTGCTACAACTGTGATTTTCTTTTGGTATAAATACAAATATTGCTACAAATATGAATACAAACTTCAGAAGGAATATTAATTAGTTGTGTTTCAAAAGCAACAGAAACAATATTTGTGTGTAGCAATGTTTTTTTGAAAAAGCATTTCAATCTTCTACATCTTGTTTAGCCTGTACCATAGATGATGGATCATTATCATTTGATTGAGATGATGGTTCTGATATCAATAGAGATTCTATCAGTTCCGACAGGTATTTCTTCATCTTACAGCTTTCAGAATCTTACAATATGGAAGTAGAAGATGATAAATAATCTACACCCTTCAATGTAGAATCACACAGGAAACCTTCTGACGTAGACGTGGATAGCTGGATTTGTGCATCTGGTGACGTAAACTGGATGACATGAGTATCAAAAATTGCGGTGTAGAGGAAAATGATAAATCAGCATATTATGATGTAAAACCAAACTGCTTATTTCCAAAATCTGCTGCTTAAATCATAAACATAGATAACTGCATCTTGGGTGACTAGACTTAGCGAATATTTTAACAATGTTACCAATAATATTTAGCTTTATTTGTAATATCGTCTGTGCACGTCTTCTAGAATTCAGTGGGAAAAATAGTTATTTAAATGATCATTCTCCATGTTGCCACAGCAGGAAGTATTATTCTATCACGAAGGACGTGATGAGGTATAAGACCCCAAATCCATAGCTGATTTTCCCTTGAAAATATATTTTATTACATTGGAACATATATTTTATTAACAATCCTCGCAAAATCACTTATTTCTTTCTGTATTCAAAATTCAAATGGTATATGTTGGTATAGAAGTATATGGGTCACCAAAGTATGAAAACATGCTCAGAATTTACTTCTCTCTGCACAACACACTGCCCTAGCACATCACACACAGTTTTAATTGTTTTTTACCTAAAATAAATAAACAATGTGAAATATTGTTTATAAACTCTTGCATTGCAATAGTTTATAAAACTATTTTTTCAATTTTGTTTTTCCTTATTTATCTTTTCTAATGAACATAATATAAAAAACAAAATAGAAAAACTTTGAAAACTAATCAAACAAAACTTAATTTTTAAAAAATAAATAAGAAACTATTAAATTTGTTGTTTTTTTTATATTGAGCTGTCAAAAGCAATTTATAAGATATAAAAATAATTTTTTTTTTCTCCATCTTTTTTGTTGATTATAAGGGTCAAAATATGATATGTCTGAAAAAATTCTTATCTGCAGAAAATTACGAAAATGATTAAAGTCAATATTCACAGGCATAATATGGATAAAAAAAATAAACTGATATAAGAAGCAAAAAATAATTATTTTTTCCCCCTTTGTTTGAAGTACTTATAAATTGATTTAAACTCGGCAAAAAACTAATTTTTTGTACACTTCAAATACGATTTTCGACATAAAAAATGTTTATCCTGGAGTCACTTTTGCCTATCTTAATCAGCCACCCTTCTTTTCTCTGAGAATTATCATTTGGAGGGTTATGTGAATTTTGCTCGAAGCTGTAATGTTCACAGGAACATTATTTCGAATATAAGGTTTGCTGGGGACAGTAAATTCAACTTTTTCCACCCCCTAGTAAATAGTGTACCTACTTTTGAAATAAATTAATATACAAATTGAATATTAATTTTACCAGAATTAATAAAGAATTTAAAGTGTGTGTTTTCTGACACTATCTCGAGCAATGTCAAAAAGTAATTATTGGAATATCTTTTTCAGTTACCTACTTACCTATTACTGCTTTTGAATCAAGGTTAGAAGATCTTTGTGAATGAGATGTTATACAATGGGCAAAATATCTGTCCTAATTTTTCATGAAAATTTTCATGAGCCTTTGGATGCATGAAATGGTTGAAAGGAAAAGGAAATTAAAACAGCAATGTTTTTGATTTCATACTCCCAACATCATTTATTTCCATTCATCAACAAACACACTTAACACTCACAGAAAATAATTAAAAAATGTAAAAATATTTTTGCAATCTCCTAAAACATCAGTCTCTTTACAGTTTCTGAAGGTTTCTCATTCAAATAGTCACAAGAGTAGCTGCAGTAAAGAGTAAGTTGCAGAATTAGGAGAGAAGTTTATTTACCAGCATATTTCACTTCCACAACAAAAGTACGAATTTGCATGGGTTCCAGTGTGACACTGAGAATATCTTCAGCATGATTTAGAGAACCTTGATGGGTATCCTCATGTCGATCAATGGAGTTAGATTCAGTTTTCCACTGCAGCCGAGAAGAATCTTTTTTCCATTCATTGGCACCCAACATAGTTTCACGAGCAGATACAATTTCAAATGGTGAAAAGAGATTCTAAAAAAGAACCACAAATATGTCATGTGGGTTGCAAATTTTCATGTAAAATATTTGCTCTAGAATTACATAAACGTTCACTACAATATCTCAACAAAATACAAATTTGGTTTTCTTGGCTCATCAGCCAAAAAAAGAACACATTTATCATACAATGCAACACATTACAGAAACAATACTTACTTTCAAACTGACAGTAACAGATTTTGACAATTTTGGATCTTCACCCTTTTCTAAAATGTGCTCAAGACGCACCAAAAGAGAACGTCCTTTCCAGGGCTCCAATGTCAGAAGGTGCACATTAGCAGGCAGAGGCATCTTCACTCCATCAAACTGCAAAAAAATTGTCAGGGTGTGGTTACATATATTTTTTATTCGGCTGGTTTATATAAATTCTTTAAGGAACACGTGAATAGTAAGAACTAAGTAAGAACATCTTTGTAATGATAGCATATTGATTTGTAAATTAATTTATATTTAATGTTTTTTTCTTAATTCATTATTTTTACTCCTTTTAAGTTAGTTTCACATTAAAGGATACATATCAGAAACGTGTATTGAATAAAATCATAATGTTAAAATTACTTTCTGCAATAGTTATTATTTCAGTTTGTAATAATGAAATAACTGTCATTTGTAAGAATTTACAATTATTTAGACTCGGAGAAATGTAATTGAACAAACTAATGAAGAATGTGAATACGCAAGAATTTTCTTCGGGACTCTTACCTCCATTCGATATGTTTTAGACCAAGATTCAAAGGAATATTTATCAGCTCTGGAGAAGAAAAGCCATGGGGTCAGGAGCTTCTCTTGGGCTAATTGTCTCTCATACACTGTGAGTACATTTCCTGAAGGTCCACCCACCAAGTAGTGTTTTCCACGTGCTACCAGTCCTTTTCCAAAGGCTGTTTCATTCAGTGCCTCACCAACACCAAATGCATCATCATGGAGTAATCGACGATGTAGCTGCAACCACATTAAAATTAATATTTTAGGTCCAAATGCTTGTGGAACATTTTAGAGTAAGATGGTTCAAGTGAGAGGATCTTTTTTTAAAGTAAGGACCTTGTGATTGTAGTGATTTCTAACATTCTTCCATTATTATTTTTGAAGTTTAACATAATGTATTTAAAAACATTAACATCTTAATTTACAAGATGGTAAAAACTCATACCATCAACTCCATTTCACCATCCTTAAGAGATGAGCCACCTTGAGCTCTGTCAGTCAGAACAGCCAATTCAAGCTTCTTATCAGTATCACGTAGCAAAATACGACTAGTGATGGGATAATAATTGCCAGCTACAGGTTCTTCTAGCTTCAAATGCCATGTTGGACGAGCATTTCGGGTTCTTTCAAGCAGTTCACGCCCATTAGAATCAGTATAAAATTTTCCTTTTGATGACAACTCTGACATATACTTCACAATCACTTCTTTGCCAACACCATCTCTATCAAACGAAATTTCACAATTTCATCATTAGTAAATAAACAATATTAATTTCCTTGATATAATTTGTACTTGCTAATGACGTGAGTCTGCTGGTAAAAAATCTCTTAAATGGTAACTAATTGAAACTAGTAACACAATGTCAAAATACTTACTTAATTGGTAGAGGGCCAACCAACCACTCCACTTCAGTATGCTGCTCATCAGTATAAATTCGCACTATCTGACTCAGCCAGTCATTAATTACTTCATGCCGTTCTGATACCAGAGGTCCTATAATGAAACATTTAAAACTCATTGTGAGAGTTTGACACACCATAAAAGCTTAGTTCCCAACTTTAATTGTAGTATGAATATAGACGGCAAGTGATTTTTGCAAGAATCGGCAAGAAAATGTTTGCTCCAATATAATAAAAACAATTTGCAAAGGCAAATCAGCTATGGATTTTGGCTATTATCCCTAGTGTTCTACATGAAGGAATCAACTTCCTGCAGATTTCAAGAAAACATGCACAAGTATATTTAAGTCCAAAAGCAAAACAATGGCCTGTCTCATCATTTGCTCACAGAAACTGGACTAAAGCTTCATTGAGATGGTGGCCATTGACCCACAAGCTGAGGTACAATACTTCTTACAGACAAAATAGTTTATAATTAAACAGTTAAATTTTTCAAATGGTAACTAATAGGCATTAAATATCATTGTTAAAATTAATTTTATTTTCCTTTTTGATACTCAGTTGAGTCTCTTATTGTATATAAGCAGTTATGCAGTAGAAAAGATTCTACTGGGCACTTAAATTTGGGTGTCAATTTTAATCATTTAAATATCATCTGGTACACTGTTTTAAAATATTGTACTACATGTATTGTATGAGAATTTTTTTGTAGTGAGCTATTGATACAGACACCTAGAATGGGATTACTACACTAAATGTTATAGGTATAGATATCTGTAATGGTTGAAAATATGTTCCTGTCCTTGAGAAAACCATGTTTTTACTAAAACCACTGATATTTGTATATCAAGAGGTAAGGCAATGGTAGAATTCCTAGCTTGATGAAGAGAGGCTTACAAGGAATCCTGTAGATGGGATCTGCATATTATTTGTACAATTCTTTTCTTAATCTAAGTGTCTCAAAGTTGTAGGATGTATTTCCCTAGAATACTATGTCGTATCTCAGGTGGTAACATTTGTGAAATATACACAATGAGCAGTATGAAGACTGAATTTAAAAGAATTCTGAGTGTGTAGCATAATGAACTTAATTTTGTATTCAGTTGAATATTCCGTTTGAGGTTTGACTTAATTGAGAGACCAAAAATTTTGTTACCTTCACATCAGTCAATGGCACATCATTCAAATTCAATAAAGCATTCAATTGCCTATTTGAAATGGAAAATTGCATGGAAACTTTTTTTTCCATTTACTAATAATTTGTTATTAAGGAACCAATTTTAAACTTATAATATTGTTCTAGTAATTGTTTCCTTTTTGTTTTTTTGTTTTGCTAAGAATATCTGTATAATCTGGAAAGAGTTCTTCTATTTCACATCAGCGAGGCCATATCGTTGACATACAGTAGGTAGATTACAAGGTGCAGATTTATGTGTTTTTGTTTTGACTTGTTTCCTACCCTGTTTTGTGTTTTTTGTTGGTTTGAATTGGTCAGTGGTTGGGTAGAGTTGTTGGGATCAGGGAGGTGAGGAAATTCTGTTTCATAATCTAAAACATTAAATTGTTTTGAGTAACAACTGAATGTGGTGTCTGTATCTAGTGAGCAGTCAGGGGTCCACAGTTGGAAAGATTCACAGTGTTGCCGACTTATGCCCGACTATTTGTGTGGAGAAAAACCTCTTCCTGCCTCCAGATATGTTAATCTAAATTACTATGTGTACGTGTGAAGGCTTTCAGATCAGCTTTGAGACTACAGAGAGTATGTCTTGACTACTGCTCACTTCTTAAATGCATTTTAAAGTACATGATAAAATTGGAAATAAATATAATAGAACTCAGACAAGAGTAACAAGTACATAACTTAATATTTTGAAAGTGTAAGATCGGTAGTTTTCATAAGTTAAACATTCTGTACTTAAATTGTAATGTGTATGTAAAGAACATATAAAATGTAATTAAAATTACATACATTAATTCAACTGAAAATTTAGTTTTAACACACATAATGATTGCTTTTTCTTTGTATTTTTGTACCGTTATAATACAGGTTACAAATATAGAAATCTCTCAGTGAAATCATTAGGAAGAAATTATCTTTAAATTAAATCATATCATCTATTCCAAAACTTTTAGTTGTCATTTTCTACTCCAAACTGTTAAAACACAATTTCATAATCAAAGCTTCAAAACTTTTTATATCCACCTTCTGTATTTACAAGGAATAAACACTAAGTTTCTAAGACCAACCTTTGAATGTCTTGAACTGAGATCTGTTGGGCATAATTTTTGGAGTGGAAGATTTTGGTCGAAAAATGTAAGCGCCTGACGAACGGTTAATAGCTTCTTCATTGTCACCTACTGCTCCTTCATAGTAACCATATGCTTGGGCCACTTGAAACTTGACTCCATGGGTAGTCAGTGTCTTGAGGACACCTCGTCGATTGGTAGTATAGTAATAAGTCTGTGAAATTGGTCATTAGAAAGATGAATTACAATATAATGTATTGATACAATGCATTTCAAGAAACAATCATTCGCATAAGATGGAAAATTGTGAATTAATCCTTTAATAATCCTTTAATAATCCTAACAATATCTCAAATTCAATTGTCTGTCATTTTTTAGACTTTCTTAAATATACCTTGTGACCAAAATTGCCAGAAGCATTACTTTCATCACTAATATATGTGTTGCTTTCTTCTGATTTCACTTCAGAAACAAAATAAGATTGGAAGCCAAGAGGTTTCAAATTGACAGCTCTAAATACAAGTTCCTGAGTTGCTTCACTCATGCGGCCTGGTATATTCTGCACTGGTTCAGGAATGGGTACCAGTTGAGTTGGTAGTGAATTTCCTGTAAATAACACAAGTTACTTGGTATTTCTATTTTTGTTGAACTTGTGCTATTGTTTCTAGTTTATTTCAATCAGTCAATCATACAAAGAAACAATTAAGACACAAAGTATTTGCTTACCTTTAGCATCTTGAACTTTGTAAGAAGATCCTGTTACTGGGAAACGTATGTAAGGTGAAATTACTTGAGCCAATGGGTTGTACACGGTAACAACAAAGTTCTTCGATTCCTCAGAAGGAGCACATTGACTTACGTTGAGTTTTAAACAGTTCTCCCAAACAGGTGTAGGGTATTCCTTTCGGAGAGGTACTAATTTACTGTAAATAGAAAAACAATGAGACTCTTCATTTCTCTCACCAAGAATGTTTGTAGTGAAAGAATTCATACTACCAAATTTTTCATGATCAAATTTACTGAATGTTATATTAAACCATAAGAACTAATTTTCTTTCAATAATGAAGCAACCATCTCCTACAAAACTTTCTTCTCCAAACTGCTTCACCCAACAACAGTATAGTAAATTTATTTTGTAACATCTTTCAAGGTATAGTTCAAATAAAAAATCAACTTGATTCCTGAATGTATGACCAACAATGCATTTATAAAAGGTAAATATGTGCATCTGAATAATTTTCACTAAGGTTTTCACTAGATAACAGTGCTTTTAAGCGTCTTTGGCTTCAAATACACAAGTTTTCATATCCATTAATGAAGCCTTTTCTTAATATTCATACAAGTACATTATTCTTACACAAATGGTTGTGGAACACATTATTTAGAAAATCTTTGTCTTAATACTTTACAAAGCAGTAATACTGATATTTTTAATATTGAATTGGATCAAAATAGCTTACATCTATTTTTTTCACATTTCTAATGTCTTTAGACACATCATAGTTTAACGAAACGGCAACTACTGGAGTAATGTAGAAAAGCAGAATCTTGTTTCTACAGAAACTTTTGAGAAAAAGGTCATATGAGGAAATGTCACATTTTTAGCTCTTATTTGCTAAAACTTTTAAAATTTGAGTAACTTCAGAATAAATAACCATTAATGTCCATGCCCCAAACCGTATTAATATATGAAATAAATTTGTATTTTAAATATTATGGTTACATGAATGTTCAGAAACTTGTAGTGCTTCGCCATGGCACAGACTATATTCTATGCATAACATTCATGGCATAACATTCTATTTGTAACTTCACAAAGTTTTTACTATATTGCAATGAAATTCAATCAAATGATAGTGTAAAATTATAACAATTGAACAACAAATATGAGCTTCTATTGTGTGCAAATCTCTCTTCATCAAAGTGCAGGAGAAAAGTCTACTCTCTACCATCTTCTTCATAAGTAGAATTAATCTTTTTGTTGCATATATGACCATTAAATAGCTTAGCAATGCTGAATCTCTCTGTGACATTTTTTAATATTGATTTCATTTATTTCTCATAAAAATATAAATAAATAAATAAATAAATAAATAAATAAATAAATAAATAAATAAATAAATAAATAAATAAATAAAAAATAAAAAAATGTAAAAAAATGGAAACTGTATGTGACATATGGGAGAGAAGTAGCATACAATCTGTGCAAGTTTTCTTCTTGAGCTGCACCTTTTACCCCCAACTTTTTTCTATTCATAGGTAAATGATAAATAAAGTACCAATAAAGTGAGGTTACCAACATTTGAAAAAGTATAAAATTTTGCTGCCAATTTATAGAAAACGTATTTGCATTGGTAAACAAAATACATAATTGATTTTATATTATTCATCTATTTTATTGTAAAAACATTGTATTGCTACGAAAATAGCAACCCCTACCCCCACCTCTACTCTTACAATAACCAACTCTTACAAACTAAGAATTCAATGAATGTTCATATAGTGAAGCTACAATATAATCCAGAAGCAAAACAAGGTGCCATCTTAGCATTTACTCAATAGATCAGGGGCATTGGATGAAAATCCTGATTGAGATGAGGATCAATGACCCAGAAACCAAAGTACAGAACTTGTTACAGACATATTTAATCTTTTTAAAATTATATAGTATAAATAAATTGATAATTAAATATCATTGTTAAAACAGCAACAATACCCAAGTTTCTTTAGCTTTAAACACCTTCAACTTTACACTTGTTCATAAATAAATTTCTCAAAATTATCTAATTCTACATAAAATTTGTTGAATTTAATAATTATAAATCTTCATGAAAAACATGATTTTTTTCTTTCCTGTTGTATTTAGATTGTTATATTAACATTTGCAATTTACCTACAATTCCTGGGAAAAGAGCCTTGTGCGAGATATCTTATCCCAATTCAATGCAACTCTGCTGATTGAAATTCAAAGAATTCTCTTTGAGTTTTGTTCTGTGTATCTCTAAATAGAACACTGTTTTGCAGGTTTTGATTGTTGAATTTGTGATCATGTTAATGTATAAAAAAATTATTTATTTCATAGAAATGTTTCTACTTGCATGTTCCTAATCGTCATTTCTAAGCTATGACTATTATAGGCAATAGTGGTGTAAGCACAGACAGACAGTGCCCACATATTTATTTCCACCAATAGCTCAAGATCAATGTTTTTGTAGCAATAGAAATCTTTCTCTGTTGTATGCAGTTGAGAAATTAAAAATATCTTGTTCTATACATTTTTCAGGACGGACATATTCCTTTATTTTTGTTTAATGAAATACATAAAGTGTGTTCATCACAAAATCATATTACAACATAGGAATATTGTGTAGTGGTCTGAACTGAATGACGCACCTACAAAGGGTGATAGTTTAAGTTTGCTATAGGTTAACAGGTTATATTAAAATTAGTACATCATGAGAAAATGCAAGTAATGTATATGCAATCAAATTTTAATAAAATTTTGAACTTTTAATTGTGATACATTAATTTATTCTTTTATTTGCAACAATTAGTAAATAGTCAGATGATTGGAAGCAACTCCAGGTAAGGCAATTTTCACCTACAGAGGATACTGAAAGCAGTATGCAATATTTCTATGGGGAGTAATAAGAGATAACAATTCTTTTTTCTAATATTTTTAGTTACATTATTTTATTTTTCTGGAACAATTGCAATTATTGGTTAGAATTAAAAAGATTCCATGGATTGGCATTTTTAATCTCATTTTAGCATGAAAATATATTTAATATTAATTTTTAAGAACGTTTTTAAATGCTTTTAGAACATTGGACTTTTATGGACATCGAATGAAGAAATTAAATAGAGAAATAGATGTTCTAGTTATTCCAAGGTAATATTCTGATTTGATCTTCAGATTCATACAAACAGCAGATAGTTGCAAGAATAAAACTAAGTTAACAGCATTGTATCGTACAGTCTTATGAGCTCTTCATTTCAATAAAATTTGATTTCATTGTGTTACAGTAAATCAACAAATCATTAGGCGATTAAATAGACAGAATGATATGAAGGAATAGATTGGAATATGCACTTACTTAAATGCAGTATTTGTGATAATATTACATTCAGCAATTCCTCGAGAGAGGATTCGAGCATAATCAAAGGCTACTTTCTGCTTCTCTGTCCCAGTAATAGCATCATGGTGCTGCATGACACCCATCGCTTCTCTCAGAGCATTGAGATCTACCTGATCTTCTGGTCCAAGATCAGTCAATGCATATAGCTGCTTACATACCTGAAAACAATTCAACACAAAACACAATTGATGTTTAATGTGATGTAATAAAATCAACTTTTTTTAAAACTTATTTTTCTGATGTTCATGTGTAAATGTTACAACAATTACAAAATATAAAAATTAGTATTGTAACGAATATTGTATCACCTGCCAGGATTCACTGCGCTTTTGCGTCATCTGCCGACGACCCCCCCCCCCCCCCAATTAACTGTCATTTGTAAGAAATTTACCAAATTATTTAGACTCGGAGAAATGTAATTGAACAAACTAATGAAGAATGGTGAATACGCAAGAAATTTTCTTCGGACTCGTACCTCATTCGATTATGTTTTAGACCAGAAATTCAAAGGAATATTTTATCAGCCTCTGGAGAAGAAAGCCATGGGGTTCAGAGCCTTCTCTTGGTCTAATTGTCTCTTCATACACTGTGAGTACATTTCCTGAAGGTCCACCCACCAAAGTAGTGTTTTCACGGTCCTTACCAGTCCTTTTCCCAAAGGGCTGTTTCAATTCCAGTGGCCTCACCAACACCAAAGCATCACATGGAAGTATCGACGATGTAGGCTGCAACCACATTAAATTAATATTTAGGTCCAAATGCTTGTGGACATTTTAGAAGTAAGATGGTTCAAGTAGAGAGATCTTTTTTTAAAGTAAGGACCTTGTGATTGTAGTGATTCTAACATTCTTACCAATTATTATTTTTGAAAGTTTAACATAATGTATTTTAAAAACATTACATCTTAATTTTACAAGATGGTAAAAAACTCATACCATCAACTCCATTTCACCATCTTAAGAGATAGCCACCTTGAGCTCTGTCAGTCAGAAACAGCCAATTCAGCTTCTATCAGTATCACGTAGCAAAATACGACTTAGTGATGGGATTAATAATTGCCAGCTACAGGTCTTCTAGCCTTCAAATGCCCATGTTGACGAGCATTCGGGTTCTTTCAAGCAGTTCACGCCATTAGAATCGCGTATAAATTTTCCTTTTTTGATGACAACTCTGACATATACTTCCACAATCACTCTTTGCCAAACACCATCTCTATCAAACGAAAATTTCACATTTCATTCATTAGTAAATAAACAATATTAATTTTCCTTGAATTTAATGTGTACTTGCTAATGACTGAGTCTGCTGGTAAAAAATTCTCTTTAAATTGGTAACTAATTGAACTAGTAAACACCAATGTCCAAAAATACTACTTAACTTGAGTTAGAGGCGCCAACAACCACTCCACTTCAGTATGCTGCTCATCAGTATAAATTCGCACATCTGACTCAGCCAGTCATTAATTACTTCATGCCGTTCTGATACCAGAGTCCTATAATTAAACATTTAAAACTATGTGAGAGTTGGGACACCACCATAAAGTTTAGTTCCCAACTTTAATTGTAGTATGAAAATATAGACGGCAAAGTGATTTTGCAAGAATCGGCAGAAAATGTTTGTTCCCAATATAATAAAACAATTTTGCAAAAGGCAAATCAGCTATGATTTTGGCTATTATCCCTAGTGTCTACATGAAGAATTTCAACTCCTGCAGATTTCAAGAAAACATGCACAAGTATATTTAAGTCCCAAAAGCAAAACCAATGGCCTGTCTCATCATTTGGCTCACAGAAACTGGACTAAAGCTTTCATTGAGATGGTTGGCCCATTGACCCACAAGCTGAGGTACAATACTTCTTACAGACAAAAATAGTTTATAATTTAAACAGTTTAAATTTTTCAAATGGTAACTAATAGCATTAAAAATATCATTTGCTTTAAAATTAATTTATTTTCCTTTTTGATACTCAGTTGAGTCTCTTATTGTATATAAGCAGTTATGCAGTAGGAAAAGATTTCTACTGGGGCACTTAAAATTGGTGTCAATTTTAATCATTTAAAGATCATTCTGGACACTGTTTTAAAATATTGTACTACATGTTATTGTATGAGAATTTTTTTGTAGTGAGCTATTGATACAGACCACCTAAGAATGGGATTACTTACACTAAATGTTATTTAGGTATAAGATATCTGTAATGGTGAAATATGTTCTGTCCTTGAGAAAAACCATGTTTTTACTAAAACCAAACTGATATTTTGTATATTCAAGACGTAAGGCAATGGTAGAATTCCTAGCTGATGAAGAGAGCTACAAGGATCCTGTGAGATGGGATCTGCATAATTATTTGGACAATTCTTTTCTTAATCTAAGTGCTCTCAAAGCTTGTAGATGTATTTCCCTAGAATACTATTTCGTAATCTCAGGTGGTAACATTTGTGAAATATACACAATGAGCAGTATGAAGGACTGAAATTTAAAAAGAATTCTGAGTTGTGTAGCATAATAACTTAATTTTTGTATTCAGTTGAATATTCCGTTTGAGCGTTTGACTTAATTTGAGAGACCCCAAAAATTTTGTTCAAACCTTCACATTCAGTCAATGGCACTCATTCAAAATTTCAATAAAGCATTTCAATGCCTATTTTGAAATAAAAATTTGCATGGAAACTTTTTTTTTCCATTTACTAAATAATTTGTTATTAAGCAACCAATTGTTAAACTTATAATATTTGTTCTAGTAATTGTTTCCTGTTTTTTTTTGTTTTGCTAAGAATATCTGTAAATCTGGAAAGAGTTCTTCTATTTCACATTCAGCCGAGCGCCGATATCATTGACAACAGTAGGAGATTACAAGGTGCAATTTATGTGTTTCTGTTTTGACTTGTTTCCTACCCTGCTTTTGGTGTTTTTTGTTGGTTTGAATTGGTCAGTGGTTGGGTAGAGTGTTGGGATCAGGGAGGTGGGAGGAAAATTCTGTTTCATTAATTCTAAAACATTTAAATTGTTTATGAGTAAACAACTGAAAGTGGTCTGTCTGTATTAGTGAGCAGTCAGGGGTCACAGTTGAAAGATTCACCAGTGTGTTGCCGACTTATGCCCCGACTATTTGTGTGTCGAGAAAAACCTCTTCCTTGCCTCCAGATATATGTAATCTAAATTACTATGTGTACTTGTGAAGGCTTTCAGATCAGCTTGAGGACTACAGAGAGTATGTCATTGACTACTGCTCACTCTTAAATGCATTTTAAAGTACATGCATAAAATTGGAAATAAATATTTAATAACTCAGACAAGAGTAAACAAGTACATAACTTAATTATTTTGAAAGTGTAAGATCGCGTATGTTTCATAAGTTAAAACACATTCTGTACTTAAATTGTAATTGTATGTAAAGAAACATATAAAATGTAATTAAAAATTACATCATTAATTCAACTAAAATTTTAGTTTTAACACACATAATGATGCTTTTTCTTTGTATTTTTGTACCGTTATGAAATACCAGGCTTAACAAATATAGGCAAATCTCTCAGTGAAATCATTAGGAAGAAATTATCCTTTAAATTAAAATTCATTATCATCTATTCCAAAACTTTTAGGTGTCATTTTCTACTCCAAACTGGTAAAAACACAATTTCATAATCAAGCTTCAAAATTTTTATATTCCACCTTCATGTATTTACAAAGAAAAACACTAAGTTTCTAAGACCAACCTTTGAATGTCTTGGAACTGAGATCTGTTGGGCATAATTTTTTGGAGTGGAAGATTTTTGGTCGAAAAAATGTAAGCGCCTGACGACGGTTAATAGCCTTCTTTCATTGTCACCTACTGCTCCTTCATAGTAACCATATGCCTTTCGGCCACTTTGAAACTTGACGTCCATGGGTAGTTCAGTGTCTTGAGGACACCTCGTCGATTGGTAGTATAGTAATAAAGTCTGTGAAATTGGTCATTAGAAAGATGAATTACAATATAATGTATTGATACAATGCATTTCAAAGAAACAATCAGTTTCGCATAAGATGGAAAATGTGAATTAATCCTTTAATAATCCGTTTAATAATCCTAACAAATATCTTCAAATTCAAATTGTGTCTGTCATTTTTTGACTTTTCTTAATATAACCTTGTGACCAAAATGCCAGAAGGGCATTACTTTCAATCACTAATATATGTGTTGCTTTCTTCTGATTTCACTTCAAAACAAAATAAGATTGAAGCCAAGAGGTTTCAAAGTTGTGGACAGCCTCTAAATTACAAGTTCTGAGTTTGCTCACTCATGCGGGCCTGTATATTCTGCACTGGTTCAGGAATGGGGTACCAGTTGAGTTGGTGTGAATTTCCTGTAAATAACACAAGTTACTTGTATTTCTATTTTTGTTGAACTTGTGCTTATTGCTTTCTAGTTTATTTCAATTTCAGTCAAATCATCAAAGAAACCAATTAAGACACAAAGTATTTGCCTTACCTTTACATCTTGAACTTTGTAAGAAGATCCTGTTACTGGGAAACTTATTGTAAGGTGAAAATACTTGAGCCAATGGGTTTGTACACGTTAACAAACAAAGTTCTTCGGAATTCCTCAGAAGGAGCACATTTGACTTACGTTGAGTTTTTAAACAGTTCTCCCCAAATCAGGGTAGGGTATTCCTTTCGGAGAGGTACTAATTTACTGTAAATAGAAAAACAATGAGACTCTTCATTTCTCTCACCAAGAATGTTTGTAGTGAAGAATTCATAACTACCCAAATTTTTCATGATCAAATTAGTTTGTTGCTTGAATATATATTAAACCAGAGAGAACTAATTTTCTTTCAAATTAATTAAGCAAAACCATCTCCTACAAAACTTTCTTCTCCAAATGCTTCACCAACAACATATTAGAAATTTATTTTGTAACATCTTTCAAAGGTATATTTCAAATAAAAAATCAACTTGATTCCTGAATGTATGGACCAACACAATCATTTATAAACAGGTAAGATATTCATCATTGAATAATTTTCACTAAGTTTTCCAATAACAGTGCCTTTTAAGCGTCTTTGGCTTCAAATACACAAGTTCATATCCATTAATGAAGCCTTTTCTTATATTCATACAAGTACATTATCTTACACAAATGTGGTGGAACACATTATTTAGAAATCTTGTCTT